TCAGGATCCAAAAACACATGGAAATGTACCTCATTTTTGAAATTCGGTGGCACCCCTCACGCAGATCGGCAGGGTCAGGGTCCGAAAACACAAGGGATTTGCCACGTTTCTGAAATTCGCTGGCACCCCTCACGCAAATCGACGCGGTCAGGGTTCAAAAACACATGGGATTTGCTACATTTCCGACATTCGGTGGCACCCCTCACGCAAATGGGCGAGGTCAGGGTGCAAAAACATACAAGATTTGCTATATTTTTGAAATTCGGTGGCACACCTCATGCAGATCGGCGGGGTCAGGGTCCAAAAACACATGGGATTTGCAACATTTCTGACATTCGGTGGCACCCCTCACGCAGGTAGGCAGGGTCAGGGTCCACAAACACATGGAAATGTACCTCATTTTTGAAATTCAGTGGCACCCCTCACGCAGATCGGCAGGGTCAGGGTCCGAAAACACAAGGGATTTGCGACGTTTCTGAAATTCGGTGGCACCCCTCACGCAGATCGGCGGGGTCAGGGTCCAAAAACACATGGGATTTGCTACATTTCTGACATTCGGTGGCACCCGTGGCGGAGATCCGTAGGGTCAGGGTCGAAAAGCAAACAAGTCCCGACACTGCTTCACGGCGGCGCCCAGACCTCATGATTTAGCTTTTGCATCTCACATTGTCCGAGACAGGGGGCCGGCAGCCTGGGGCGAAGCCCTTACGGATAAGAGTACCAGTCGCAATAGCAATAGCAGTAGCAGCATCGGTAGCAGTAGCAGCAGCAGTAGCAGTAACAGTAACAGTAACAGTAGTAGTAGTAGTAGTAGTAGTAGTAGTAGTAGTAGTAGTAGTAGTAGTAGTAGTAGTAGTCGTCGAAGTAACGATAATAGTAGTAGTAGTAGTAGTAGTAGTAGTAGTAGTAGTAGTAGTAGTAGTCGTAGTCGTCGTAGTAGTAGTGGTAGTAGTAGTGGAAGAGGTAGTAGTAGTAGTAGTAGTAGTAGTAGTAGTCGTAGTAGTAGTAGTAGTAGTAGTAGTAGTAGTAGTAGTAGTCGTAGTATTAGTGGTGGTGGTAGTAGTAGTAGTAGCCGTAGTAGTAGTAGTAGTAGTAGTAGTAGTAGTAGTAGTAGTAGTAGTAGTAGTAGTAGTAGTAGTAGTAGTTAGTAGTAGTAGTAGTAATAGTAGTCGTAGTAGTAGTAGTAGTAGTAATAGTAGTAGTAGTAGTAGAAGTAGTAGTGGTAATATTAGTAGTAATAGTAGTAGTAGTAGTAGAAGTAGTAGCTGTAGTAGTAGTAGTAATAGTAGTAGGTGCCGTAGTAATAGTAGTAATAGTAGTAGTAAAAGTAGTAGTAGTAGTAGTAGTAGTCGTCGTAGTAGTAGTTGTAGTAGTAGTAGTAGTAGTAGTAGTAGTAGTAGTAGTAGTAGTAGTAGTAGTAGTAGTAGTAGTAGTAGTAGTAAGAGTAGTAGTAGTAGAGTAGTAGTAGGCAGCAGCAGCAGCAGCAGCAGCAGCAGCAGTAGTAGTAGTAGTAGTAGTAATAGTAGTAGTAGTAGTAGTAGTAGTAAAAGTAAACGTAAAAGTAGTAGTCGGGGTAATAGAAATAATAGGGGGAATCGTAGAAATAGAAGAAGTATTAGTGGTAGTGGTAGTAGTAGACGTAGTCGTAGTCGTAGTCGTAGTCGTAGTCGTAGTCGTAGTAGTAGTAGTAGTAGTAGTAGTAGTAGTAGTAATAATAGTAGTAGTAAGAGTAGAAAGAGTAGTAGTAGTAGTAGTAGTAGTAGTAGTAGCAGCAGCAGTAGTAGTAGTAGTAGTAGCAGTAGTAGTAGTAGTAGTGGTAGTAGTAGTAGTAGTAGTGGTGATGTTGGTAGTAGTAGTAGTAGTTGTTGTTGTAGTCAAGGTCGTGGTAGTAGTAGTAGTAGTTATAATAGTAGTAGTAGTAGTGATAGTAGTAGTAGTAGTAGTAGTAAGAGGTACTAGCAGTAGTAGTAGTAGTAGTAGTAGTAGTAGTAGTAGAAGTAGTAGAAGTAGTAGTAGTAGTAGTAGTAATAATAGTAGTAGCAGTAGTAGTAGTAGCAGGTATGTAGTAGGTAGTAGGTAGTAGGTAGTAGGTAGTAGGTAGTGGGTAGTTAGTAGTAGCAGTAGCAGTAGCAGTAGTAGTAGTAGCAGTAGCAGTAGCAGTAGCAGTAGTAGTAGTAGTAGTAGTAGTAGTAGTAGTAGTAGTAGTAGTAGTAGTAGTAGTAGTAGTAATAGTAGTGGTAGCTGATGGCGCTGGGGATCGGGCTGATGGCTCGAGTTAGTGCTTGAGAGTAGCATGAAGGCTTAAAGTGTTCGAGCTAGGCTTCGTATTAGGATGGTACGGTCAAGGTGTTACATTCTGAGGTAAGCGAGATTCGGATGGTGGGGAAAAGGTCATACAACCACCCCGTATAATAAGGACGCACGATCATGCTGCAAGGGCCTTGGAAGGCCATGACGATACTTTGCGAGCGGGGCGCGGCCAGCGGAAGCGGCCAAGGATGGGCCGACGGGGAAGGATGCAAAGGTAACTTTGGATAGTTGCTCATCCATACTGCGCGGGTTCACTGTCGCTAGTGTTTATGGTGTTCTGGTTTGGGCGACAGTGCTTAGGGTTAGGATCACTGGTCAGGGTTAATGTTAGGGTGGTAGCTTCGGGGATTAAGGTCTTCGTGTTACTCTGTTCAATGGGAAACAATCCCATCGGACAAACAATCCGGACCACCCCCCGGACAAGCCAGACAGCCCTTCCAATATTGATACAATGAGCTTCCCAGCATAGAATCGCGAGGATGTATCAGGCGAGACTGGCTGGACACCCACGCACATGGCATCTATGAGCCCATAGTTGGGTGCATGCCTCAATTGAGACTGTCCAATGACCTCCTCGAGACAGAGCACATCCGAGCCGAGAATTACGAGGACGTCTCAGACGAGGCTGGCTGGGCAATCTCTGTCGCGCGGCATCTCTGAACTCACAGTTGCGAGGATGTCTCAAGAGAAACTGCCTGAAACACCTCGACAGGGCATCTCAGAGCCCACAGCTGCAAGAAAGTCTCACGCGAAACTCGCCAAACAACATCGCGCGCGGCGTCCTTGGGTCCAAACTTTGGAGAACATCTGAAGCGAAACTGGCCAGACCACCTCGGGTCAGAGCATATCGGAGCGCAGAATTGCGAGGAGGTCTCTTTCAAACTGCGTGGACAATCTCGTGCGCAGTATCTCGGAGCCCATAGTTGCGAGGATATCTCAGGCGAACCCCACTGGACAACATCGCACGCAGCTCCTCGACGCATAAAACTGTCACGTCGTCGCAGGCGAAGCTAGCCGGGCAACCTCTCCTGCGGCATTTCTGAGCCAAGAACGGCAAGGCAGTCTCAAGCGAAACTGGCTGGGCAAGCTCGCGCGCAACATCCCCGAATCCAGAATGGCGCGGATGCGTCTGATTGTACGGGGTGGACCACCTCGTGCGCGGAAACTTGCGAGTATACATCACACGGAACTGAAACGATGCAGACGATGCAGCGGCACGATGCAGACGAACCTGGCTGGACCAGCCCAGAAATAAAACTCACAGAAGTGCGAAGATCCTTCAGGCAATGCCGGCCGCGCACGCTGCGTCTTCGAGCCCAACAATACGATGATGTCTCAACCAAAACTGGCCAGACAACCTCTCGCGCGGTAATTGACGACGTCTCAGAAGGAACGATCTGGACCACCTCAGGTCAGGTATTCTTGAACCCAGAGGTGCGAGACTGTCTCACGCGAAATTGGCCTGAAAATGTAAAGCGGCGTCTCCGAACATAGTGCTGCGACTCGCAGAGATGTGAGGGCGCCCCACCAGACGGCGCCGGCCAGAATTTCCGAGGGGCGATTCACGGGAGACATAACAAAACACCTCGGAAATCGCAGCTCGATGCTCTGATCGAGCCCGCCGGAGCAGCCATGCTGTTGTTTTCCTGACAACAAGACGACAGACCCCAGACAACCCCTCGGGCAACCCCACAAGGATCTTGACAATCCTCCCGGACTACCCCTCCTGGACAAGCCTCCCCAGGTTTTTTTCCCCACAAAATAGTCGGCTTACTGTTTAGGATTAGGGTTCTGGCTGAGAACTGAGGTTGCAGTGAAGACACGTTCACTAGAAACCCCTCGTAAGAAACCACACCCTGAAAATCACCAACATTTCTTGGGCCAAGGTTGGGATGTCTTGCTTGCTGCCGCCGAACAAACTAAGGGTGCCGTGGGCCAGGCGGTTCGTTGATGGCTCGCGCACGGCATCTCAAGGTCAAGACACTCAGGGTACTCTGCCGGCATCCGTTTCTTCGCGACCGCAGGGTGCCGTGGCCAAGCGTATGGTGTTTTTGGCATGGTTTCCCAATGTATGTTTACGTTGCAAGATTCAAGTTAGGGTGTAGGAGCTGAGGGGAGACAGTTTGGGTATGAGGGTTAGCCTTTCCGTTTAGGGTCAAGGTTTGGGGTAAGGGTCGGGCTAGAGGATCAGAATGTTAGCTTTCGGGTATCAGGGTCAGGGCTAAGAAACTGAAAAGTGACGCAGGAGATTCAAGTCCTGGCACGAAAGTAGGGGAAAAAGGAGGTTCAAAACCACGGCCTCAAAAGCAAGAGTCCATCCGTGGGAGAAGTGGTGGCACGTTGCTGCGAAGCCCTCTAGATGAACATCACGATGGCTGGCTGAAGAAATAGGGCGCCTGCAAATCATGTCAACTTTTTTTTGGTTAGGGGCCAATCTCGAGCGCGAAGCAGACAACCCGTCAGTGCAGATGGGAGCGGGCCCAGCTTTGGGCACCGCCCAACCGACCCGTATCCCCACTGGCGAGGCCTTGGCCCCACTAGCCAAATTACCCACCTGGGTGGGGACGTATGCCCGCTCCTCCGGACTTCGTTGGGCCTATCGCCTCCCAGGAGGGTGGGCCTGTGGGGTCGAGATGCCCTGGGCCCCGTGGGGATGATGTCAGGTTAGACGACGCTGAAGCTCACGCGGCCTCCGTCGGCCCGGCCAGTACGCCAGCTGCGGGCGAGAACCTCGAGCGACGGCGAGGCCGTGCCCCGCGGGGCCGTCGGGCGGGCACGAGCGCGGCGGTGGTGGCGAGCGTGGGCGCGCGGCGGGGGGGGCCGGGCCCTGCCGACCAGCGGGCGCGCTGCCAGAAGACGCCCCCTCGGTCATAGGCTCCCTGAGGCCGGGCGGGGGGGTCGTCGTCTCCGTCGCGGCCGTGGCCGTCGTGCATGGGTATTGGAGGACCGACGCGCTCGAGGTGTCTGGGCGCTCTCCTCACCGCTCGGGCCCCCGGGAGACTTCTCGCATCCACGGCCAGATTCCCGCCGAGATGCTGGCCAGAGCGCGCCCCTGGAGAGGACCTGGGGTCGTCTTCGCCGCCGTCGTCGTCCCGAACAGACAACCTGGGGAGCTGCTTTCCTTACAGTCAAGAACCCTAATAAGGACGCGCGGTAAGGACGCAAGATCCTTGGAAGCCGAAGTTGGGATTCTTGGGGGCGGCGGACGACGAAAACCTCAAGGACGCAAAGAGCAAGGAAGAGCAAGGACGCAAGGGTACCCTGAGCAAAGTCGCGCGTCCTTATTAGGGTTTTTGACTGTACCCCCCCGGGAGATCCCATCGTGGAGGCGACCTCCCTCGGGAGCGGCGTCGACGCCGATGGCCCCCAGGCGGGAGGGCGCCAGCTGTGCACCTGCACCGATCCTGGCCGTGCCCACCCTGGCCGCCCAGGACCCGCGTCGACGCCCTGCTGGCTTTGGCCAGGGGGGCATATATGTTTATTATCCAGATAGGCTTGCCTTGCAGGAGTCCTAGCTCAAACCCCACAAGTGGGTCCGCTGCCCCCCTAACTCCTATGCCCACCCCCTAACTCCTATGGCTATGCCCGTGCCCATGCCTCCCCCCCTAACTCCTATGCCTACGCCCATGCCTATGCCTGCTTGCTTGTTTGTTTGCTTGCTTGCGCACTCGCTTGCTTGCTTGCTTGCGCGCTTGCTTGCACGCTTGCTTGTTTGCTGAGTTGCGGATTCCAAGCATGCTTGATTCCTCGGATTCTTTGATTTGAGTCGTCTAATATATTTGGAGTCAACGCTGGCTGACACACATACACACATATATATATACATATATATATATGTGCATATACATATCTCTATGTAGATATGTATGCACGTACAGAAAAGGAGCCCGACCACAAGAACCCTTCCACAAGAAACCCAACCCTGAGACCTCAAGACGTCAATTGATTTTTGGTGTGTGAACGTCACGCTTTTCATCGCAAAACCACCGCAACCCACAAAACCCAGGGCACCCTGGAGGCAAGCAGGGTGTTTCTTGGCATGGGCCTCCACTGTATAGACGGATCCTGAGCCCAAGATTGGCATTGCCAGCATCCGTGCAAGAAGACGGGACGGGATCTGTCAAGATCCTGACCAGGATTGGCTCGGCCAGGATTCGAGCCCAGGATCCAACCTTCCAGCTGGGCCTCTGGGTCCCTGACGCATCGAGACGAGGCCATCTGCAGACCTCGGAGGCACGGATGAGCAGGTGCTTGTCGCCTCGCAGGTGCTGCATTGGCGCCCGCCCACCCTGTGGGGGCAGGACCACGGCTCCCCCAGTGGCGGGCGGTCTGCAGGCGGGTGGCAACCACGGCTAGGATCAGAGGCAGTGGCATGAGCAGGGGCAGCCCCGCCAAGATAAGCTCTACCTCCCGCCATCCCTCTACGCCTCCCTCACATTTCTGGCAACGCACTCGACTCCTCGTTATCGCCGTCTTCTCCTCCTCCTCCTCATCATCACCACCACCATCATCACCATCACCATCACCATCACCATCACCATCACCATCACCATCACCATCACCATCACCATGACCATCACCATCACCATCGTCATAGTCATCATCATCATCATCATCATCAGCATCAGCATCCTCATCCTCATCATCATCATCATCATCATCATCATCATCAGCATCACCATAATCACCATCATCACCATCATCATCACCACCATCACCATCCCCCTTCTCCTCATCCCCCGTTTCCTCTATTGCACCGCCCTCGGACCTGCCTCCTCCTCCTGCCTCCTCCTGCATCCTCCTCCTCCTCTTCCTCATCTGTTGCAACCGCAACTTGGCCACAATAACGTGGATCCGAACACTGATCTCATTCGCCGACGGCCGAAGGCTCCACGGATCACAACCACTCCAATTCTGGCTGTCCTGTTCACGGGGGCAACAGTCAGATGCTGGTGCTGGAGACCTTCCTGGAGCCACTCGCTCCACTCATGCGTCGGTGCTGCGTCGAACGTCCGTCGAGCTGGGTCGAATTTGAAACAAACTTGAAACGACTTCGGAACCAGCGTGAATCGAACTGTGATCGAGCTAGAATCGAACAGACCTGTTAGGTGGTGCCCAGGAAGGTCTCCCAAACGAGCATCTAACAAAGCACCCAAACTTGAATCGAACTCGGATCCAGCGTGAGTCGAGCTGGAATCGAACTAGAATCGAACAGACCTGTTAGGTGGTCCCCAGGAAGGCCACCCAAACGAGCATCTAACGACACACCCAAACTTGAATCGAATTCTGATCCAGCGTGAGTCGAGCTGAAATCGAACAAAAATCGAACAGACCTGTTAGGTGGTCCCCAGGAGTGAGGTCCCCCAAACGAGCATCTAACAAAACACCCAAACTTGAATCGACTTCGACTCCAGCGTGAGTCGAGCTGGAATCGAACTAGAATCGAACAGACCTGTTAGGTGGTCCCCAGGAAGGCCCCCCCAAACGAGCATCTAACAACACATCAACACTTGAATCGACTTCGGATCTGGCGTGAGTCGAGCTGAGATCGAGCTAGAATCGAACAGACCTGTTAGGTGGTCCCAGGACGGCCCCCCAACCGAGCATCTAACAAAACACCTAACTTGAATCGAACTCGGATCCAGCGTGAGTCGAGCTTGAATCGAACTAGAATCGAACAGACCTGTTAGGTGGTCCCCAAGACGGCCCCCCAAACGAGCATCTAACAAAACACCCAAACTTGAATCGAACCCAGATCCAGCGTGAGCCGAGCTGGAATCGAACTAGAATCGAACCGACCTGTTAGGTGGTCCCCAGGAAGGCCCCGCAAACGAGCATCAACCAAAGCACCAACACTTGAATCAAATTCGGATCCAGCGTGAGTCGAGCTGGACTCGAACTAGAATCTAACAGACCTGTTAGGTGGTCGCCAGGAAGGCCCCCCAAACGAGCATCTAACAACACCCCCAAACTTGAATCGAACTCGGATCCAGCGTGCGTCGAGCTGGAATCAAGCTAGAATCGAACAGACCTGCTAGGTGGTCCCCAAGAAAGCCCCCAACACGAGCATCTAACAAACCACCCACACTTGAATCGAATTCGGATCCAGCGTGAGTCGAGCTGGAATCGAACCATAGTCGAACTTATCTGTTAGGTGGTCCCCAGGCGGTTCCCAAACGAGCATCTAACAAAGCACCCAAACTTGAATCGAATTCGGATCCAGCGTGAGTCGAGCTGGAATCGAACCATAATCGAACAGACCTGTTAGGTGGTCCCCAGGGAGGTCCCCCGAACGAGCATCTAACAGAACACCCATCTTGAATGGAAGACGGATCCAGCGTGTGTCGAGCTGGACTCGAACCATAATCGAACAGACCTGTTAGGTGGTCCCCAGGACGGCCCCCCAAACGAGCATCTAACAAACCATCCAAACTTGAATCGAAGTCGGATCCAGTGTGAGTCGAGCTGGAATCGAACCATAATCGAACAGACCTCTTAGGTGGTCCCCAGGACGGCCTCCCACACGAGCATCTAACAAAACACCCCCACTTGAATCGACTTCGACTCCAGCGTGAGTCGAGCTGGAATCGAACTAGAATCGAACAGACCTGTTAGGTGGTCCCCAGGAAGGCCCCCCAAACGAGCATCTAACAACACATCAACACTTGAATCGACTTCGGATCCAACGTGAGTCGAGCTGGAATCGAACCATAATCGAACAGACCTCTTAGGTGGTCCCCAGGAAGGCCTCCCAAACGAGAATCGAACAAAAGACCCAAACTTGAATCGACTTTGGATCCAGCGTGAGTCAAGCTGGAATCGAACTAGAAGCGAACACACCTGTTAGGTAGTCCCCAGGAAGGCCTCCCAAACGAGCATCTAACAAAACACCCAACCTTGAATCGAATTCGGATCCAGCGTGAGTCGAGCTGGAATCGAGCTAGAATCGAGCAGACCTGTTAGGTGGTCCCCAGGAAGGCCCTCCAAACGAGCATCTAACAAACCACCCACACTTGAATCGAATTCGGATCCAGCGTGAGTCGAGCTGGAATCGAACCAGAATCGAACAGACCTGTTAGGTGGTCCCCAGGAAATTCCCCCAAACGAGCATCTAAGAACACACCCGAATCGACTTCGGATCCAGCGTGAGTCGAGCTGGAATCGAACAGATCTGTTAGGTGGTGCCCAGGAAGGTCACCCAAACGAGCATCTAACAACACATCCAAACTTGAATCGAATTCGGATCCAGCGTGAGTCGAACTGGAATCGAACCAGAATCGACCAGACCTGTTGGGTGGTCCCCAGGGAGGTCCCCCAAACGAGCATCTAACACAACACCCACACTTGAAACGAATTCGGATCCAGCTTGAGTCGAGCTGGACTCGAACTAGAATCGAACAGACCTCTTAGGTGGTCCCCAGGAAGGCCCCCCAAACAAGCATCGAACAAACGACCCAAACTTGAATCGAATTTGGATCCAGCGTGAGTCGAGCTAGAATCGAACCAACATCAAACAGACCTGTTAGGTGGTCCCCAGGGAGGTCCCCCAAAAGAGCATCTAACAGAACACCCAACCTTGAATCGACTTCGGATCCAGCGTGAGTCGAGCTGAAATCGAACCAGAATCGAACAGACCTGTTAGGTGGTCCGCAGGAAGGTCCCTCAAACGCGCATCTAACAGAAAACACGCAAACTTGAATCGACTTCGGATCCAGCGTGAGTCGAGCTGGAATCGAACCAGAATCGAGCAGACCTGTTAGGTGGTCCCCGGGGAGGCCCCCAAAACGAGCATCTAACAGAAAACACCCAAACTTGAATCGACTTCGGATCCAGCGTGAGTCGAGCTGGAATCGAACCAGAATCGAACAGATCTGTTAGGTGGTCCCCAGGAGGAAGGTCCGCCAAACGAGCATCTAACAACACACCCGAACTTGAATCGAACTCGGATCCAGCGTGAGTCGAGCTAGAATCGAACCAGAATCGAACAGACCTGTTAGGTGGTCCCCACGAAGACCCCCCAAACGAGCATCTAACGAAACACCCAAACTTGAATCGAATTCGGATCCAGCGTGAGTCGAGCTAGAATCGAACCAGAATCGAACAGACCTGTTAGGTGGTCCCCAGGAGGAAGGTCCCCCAAACGAGCATCAAACAACACACCCAAACGTGAATCGAATTCGGATCCAGCGTGAGTCGAGCTGGAATCGAACCAGAATCGAACAGACCTGTTAGGTGGTCCCCAGGAAGGTCCCTCAAATGAGCATCTAACAAAACACCCAAACTTGAATCGAACCCAGATCCAGCGTGAGTCGAACTGGAATCGAACAAGAATCGACCAGACCTGTTAGGTGGTCCGCAGGAAGGCCCCCCAAACGAGCATCTAACAAAACACCCAAACGTGAATCGAATTCGGATCCAGCGTGAGTCGAGCTGGAATCGAACCAGAATCGAACAGACCTCTTAGGTGGTCCCCAGGAAGGCCCCCCAAACGAGCATGAAACAAAACACCCAAACGTGAATCGAATTCGGATCCAGCGTGAGTCGAGCTGGAATCGAACCAGAATCGAACAGACCTCAAAGGTGGTCCCCAGGAAGGCCCCCCAAACGAACATCTAACAAAACACCCAACCTTGAATCGACTTCGGATCCAGCGTGAGTCGAGCCGGAATCGAACCAGAATCGAACAGGACAGACCTGTTAGGTGGTCCCCAGGAAGGTCCCTCAAATGAGCATCTAACAAAACACCCAAACTTGAATCGAACCCAGATCCAGCGTGAGTCGAACTGGAATCGAACAAGAATCGACCAGACCTGTTAGGTGGTCCGCAGGAAGGCCCCCCAAACGAGCATCTAACAAAACACCCAAACGTGAATCGAATTCGGATCCAGCGTGAGTCGAGCTGGAATCGAACCAGAATCGAGCAGACCTCTTAGGTGGTCCCCAGGGAGGCCCCCCAAACGAGCAGCTAACAGAAGACCCAAATGTGAATCGAATTCGGATCCAGCGTGAGTCGAGCTGGACTCGAACCAGACTCGAACAGACCTGTTAGGTGGTCCCCAGGAAGGCCCCCCAAACGAGCATCTAACAGAAGACCCACACTTGAATCGACTTCGGATCCAGCGTGAGTCGAACTGGAATCGAACCAGAATCGAAAGGATCTGTTAGGTGGTCCGCAGGAAGGTCCCTCAAACGAGCATCTAACAGAAAACACGCAAACTTGAATCGACTTCGGATCCAGCGTGAGTCGAGCTGGAATCGAACCAGAATCGAGCAGACCTGTTAGGTGGTCCCCGGGGAGGCCCCCCAAACGAGCATCTAACAGAAAACACCCAAACTTGAATCGACTTCGGATCCAGCGTGAGTCGAGCTGGAATCGAACCAGAATCGAGCAGACCTGTTAGGTGGTCCCCAGGGAGGCCCCCCAAACGAGCACCTAACAAAACACCCCCAAGAGAGCCAAGAAGCAGAGGCACCGGTTCCGCGAGCGTGGCCTCGGCCCATCCCCGCCGCACGGGCAGAGCTACAAAGGCCTCGACGATGTCTGGAAAACAGCGAGAACCAGGGCAGCGATATCCCTGCGTTAATTGGTGGGCCCAGCGCCGCTTGGGAACGCAACGGGCAGTAGTCCCATCAGGGCTCCGGCCCCTCACTTCTTGGAGGAGAGCGTCCGCGACATCCAATCCAGGCCCTCGTAGAGGCCGTCGCCGGTCGTGGCGCAGGCCGACTGGATGAACCACTGGCGGTTGCGCATGTTGTGGAGGCCCAACTTTTCGGTGACCTCTGCCGCCGGCATCGCGTTCGGGAGGTCCTGCTTGTTGGCGAAGACGAGCAGCACGGCATCGCGCATCTCGTCCTCGTTGAGCATCTTCATGAGCTCCTCGCGCGCGTCCTCCGCGCGGTCACGGTCGTTGCTGTCCACCACGAAGATGAGGCCCTGCGTGCCCTGGTAGTAGTGGCGCCACAGCGGGCGGATCTTGTCCTGGCCGCCGACGTCCCACACGGTGAAGCTGATGTTCTTGTACTCGACCGTCTCCACGTTGAAACCGATCGTCGGGATCGTCGTGACGACCTCGCCGAGCTTCAGCTTGTACAGGATCGTGGTCTTGCCGGCGGCGTCGAGGCCCACCATCAGGATGCGCATCTCCTGCTTGCCGATCAGCTTGGCGAAAAGCTTTGTGAATGCCATCCCCATGTCTGCGACACGCTTCTGATGACTCGGCGGCAGGACGAGGTTGTGAAACCTCACCTCGTGTCTTTGAGATGCCAGTACCTTGGGCCGAAACGGCTGAGTAGGTGTATCTCCGCCGACACATGTGCATCTCACTTCTTGCGAGTCAAGGCAAACAATTGGCCGGTGAGAGCCCCAAACAGTGACGTGGTGCCCTCTGGACTTGCAATGCGTGTGTGTGTGGCAGGAACTACATGCTGCGCGCGTGGAGAGATTCTGGTTCCACATCGCCGGTTTCATCGCCAACAGATCGCCGATGCATCGGCGATGTGGCGCGATCCTTCGGCCCCATCTGCCTACGTGTTACACTTCTACTGCGCTCCTTGAACTGCACGCAGACACACAGATGCGTCCCGACGGGCGCCCCCAGCCAACCCCCTGTTGTTGCTTGGGGCAGCGCTGCCCTGGGAGAAGTAGGAGGTTCGCTCCACCCCGTCTTGACGAAACGCTCGGGCTCAAAATCCTGGGTGAGAGCCCTTGGGGTGGGGCGCCGCGCCCTTCTGATTGCACGAGGCAGCGCTGCCCTGGAAGAGCGGAGGCCCAAGAGTGATGAGCATGCCGAAGATCAGGGTACACGAGGGAGCATACAAGGGCGAGTGAGAGCGAGGTCAACGATGCGAGTTTTCTTGGTATTCAGTGCTGGTGAATGTCATGCTGACAGTGCACGTACGTTTGTGTGTGTGTCTCATCGCCCAACAGCTTCTCATCATATTCTGCTCCCCCCCTTCTCCGCCCTCCCCGTCTCTTCCTCCACCATCTCCTCCTCCTCCTCCTCCTCCTCCACCTCATCCCCCCTCCTTGCACAACTGCTCCTCCTCCGCCTCCACCCCACCATCATTCATTCCTCCTCCTTCATCGTCCACCGCTCTCGTCAGTGTTCGTTTCTCATTTCTCTCCAGCCTGCCCCTGTTCCTCTTTCCCCTCCCCATCCTCCTTCTTCCCTCTCTTCCCCTCACCCTGCTGCTTCCTCATCATCCTGATGCTAGTCTTTCTCGTGGCTGCTGCTGCTGCTCCTCATCCTCCTTCAAGCTCCTCTTCCTCTTCATCCCGCCTCCCTGCACTTCTCTCATCGAAACCCTGCTCTTCTCCTCACGAGTGCGCAAGTCTTCGCCCTCACTCTTGCAGCAGATGGTGTGTGGGTGTCGGGCCTTCTTTTTCCAGCAGCTAACCACACCGCTGCCTTTCGCACCAGCAGGTTCATGCTGGGCCCCATGCAGGATCTCGAGCAGGAGTATGGCAGGGGGGACTTATAGCAACCCTGCGAGCAGGGAAAAGGAGGGAGGGAGGGAGGCGAGAACAGGGGGAGGGGGGGGGAACAAGTGGGGGGGCGACTGCGTGAGCGTCGGCAGGCACCGGTTCCGCAAGGGTGGCCTCGGCCCATCCCCGCCGAACAGGCAGAGCTACAAAGGCCTCGACGATGTCTGGAAAAAAGCGAGAACTAGGGCAGCGATATCCCTGAGTTAATTGGTGAGCCCAGCGCCGCTTGGGAACGCAACGGGCAGTTGTCCCATCAGGGCTCCGGCCCCTCATTTCTTGGAGGAGAGCGTCCGCGACATCCAATCCAGGCCCTCGTAGAGGCCGTCGCCGGTCGTGGCGCAGGCCGACTGGATGAACCACTGGCGGTTGCGCATGTTGTGGAGGCCCAGCTTTTCGGTGACCTCTGCCGCCGGCATCGCGTTCGGGAGGTCCTGCTTGTTGGCGAAGACGAGCAGCACGGCATCGCGCATCTCGTCCTCGTTGAGCATCTTCATGAGCTCCTCGCGCGCGTCCTCCGCGCGGTCACGATCGTTGCTGTCCACCACGAAGATGAGGCCCTGCGTGCCCTGGTAGTAGTGGCGCCACAGCGGGCGGATCTTGTCCTGGCCGCCGACGTCCCACACGGTGAAGCTGATGTTCTTGTACTCGACCGTCTCCACGTTGAAGCCGATCGTCGGGATCGTCGTGACGACCTCGCCGAGCTTCAGCTTGTACAGGATCGTGGTCTTGCCAGCGGCGTCGAGGCCCACCATCAGGATGCGCATCTCCTGCTTGCCGATCAGCTTGGCGAAAAGCTTGGTGAATGCCATCCCCATGACTGCGACGCGCTTCTGATGACTCGGCGGCAGGGCGATGTTGTGAAACCTCACCTCGTGTCTTTGAGATGCCAGTACCTTGGGCCGAAACGGCTGAGTAGGTGTATCTCCGCCGACACATGTGCATCTCACTTCTTGCGAGTCAAGGCAAACAATTGGCCGGTGTGAGCCCCAAACAGTGACTTGGTGCACTCTGGACGCGCAATGCGTGCGTGTGTGTGGCAGGAACTACATGCTGCACGCCATGTGGTGGAAGCCGCGTGCTGCAACCCACGCGTTGCAAACTAGATGTGGTGCACGATGTGTGGGGGCAAGCCATGTGGTGCCCTCTGTGGTGCACGCTGCATCGTGCAATGTATCTGGTGACAGCTCACCGTGCGGTGCAGCCTGCGAGGGGCAGCCAGCGCACGGGGCGCCCACGAGGCACCCCCGGGCAGTGGCCAGAGGAGCAGTCCCCACGCGCGGTGACGGGGCGACGAGCCGGGGAACGCCAGACAGCACACGAGGCGCCCACCCGTCGCCCGCGGGCGGCGACCGGGCGACAAGAAGCAGAACCGCAGGCCAAGGACTCACAACCAACCCCGAAAAGCGCTTCCACATACGTACAGAGGCCTCCCAGATGGGGTCCGAGCAGATGGGGTCGGAGGACCGCGCCGCATCGTCGATGCATCGCCGATGCAGCGGTGATGCAGCGACGACGTCGGCGATGCATCGGCGCCGTCGGCGTGGAGAGATTCTGGTTCCACATCGCCGGCTTCATCGCCAGCAGATCGCCGATGCATCGGCGATGTGGCGCGATCCTTCGGCCCCATCTGCTCGGACCCCGTCAGGGAGGCACACAAGTGCGAGCACTGTTTCCCGACTCGGGCCCCCCGTCGCCTGAAGCCCAAACTGCGCTACGTTTTACACTTCCACTGCGCCCTTTGAGCTGCAAAGACACACACAGATGCGCATATCCAGAGCAAACTTCCAACTGACACGTTGGACGCCCTCCTCGATGGGCGCCCCCCAGCCAATTCCCATGTTGTTGCTTGGGGCAGCGCTGCCCTGGGTGAAGTAGGAGGTTCGCTCCACCCCGTCTTGACGATACGCTCGGGCTCAAAATCCTGGGTGGGAGCCCTTGGGGTGGGGCGCCGCGCCCTTCTGATTGCACGAGGCAGCGCTGCCCTGGAAGAGCGGAGGCCCAAGAGTGATGAGCATGCCGAAGATCAGGGTACACGAGGGAGCATACCAGGGCGAGTGAGAGCGAGGTCAACGATGCGAGTTTTCTTGATCATCAGTGCTGGTGAATTTGATGCTGACAGTGCACGTACGTGTGTGTGTGTGTGTGTCTCATCGCCCAACAGCTTCTCACCATATTCTGCTCCCCCCCTTCTCCGCCCTCCCCGTCTCTTCCTCCACCATCTCCTCCTCCTCCTCCACCTCATCCCCCCCTTGCACAACTGCTCCTCCTCCGCCTCCACCCCACCATCATTCATTCCTCCTCCTTCATCGTCCACCGCTCTCGTCAGTGTTCGTTTCTCATTTCTCTCCAGCCTGCCCCTGTTCCTCTTTCCCCTCCCCATCCTCCTTCTTCCCTCTCTTCCCCTCACCCTGCTGCTTCCTCATCATCCTGATGCTAGTCTTTCTCGTGGCTGCTGCTGCTGCTCCTCATCCTCCTTCAAGCTCCTCTTCCTCTTCATCCCGCCTCCCTGCACTTCTCTCATCGAAACCCTGCTCTTATCCTCACGAGTGCGCAAATCTTCGCCCTCACGCTTGCAGCAGATGGTGTGTGGGTGTCGGGCCTTCTTTTTCCAGCAGCTAACCACACCGCTGCCTTTCGCACCAGCAGGTTCATGCTGGGCCCCATGCAGGATCTCGAGCAGGAGTATGGCAGGGGGGACTTATAGCAACCCTGCGAGCAGGGAAAAGGAGGGAGGGAGGGAGGCGAGAACAGGGGGAGGGGGGGGGGATCAAGTGGGGGGGCGACTGCGTGAGCGTCGGCAGGCACCGGTTCCGCAAGCGTGGCCTCGGCCCATCCCCGCCGAACAGGCAGAGCTACAAAGGCCTCGACGATATCTGGAAAAAAGCGAGAACTAGGGCAACGATATCCCTGAGTTAATTGGTGAGCCCAGCGTCGCTTGGGAACGCAACGGGCAGTTGTCCCATCAGGGCTCCGGCCCCTCACTTCTTGGAGGAGAGCGTCCGCGACATCCAATCCAGGCCCTCGTAGAGGCCGTCGCCGGTCGTGGCGCAGGCCGACTGGATGAACCACTGGCGGTTGCGCATGTTGTGGAGGCCCAGCTTTTCGGTGACCTCTGCCGCCGGCATCGCGTTCGGGAGGTCCTGCTTGTTGGCGAAGACGAGCAGCACGGCATCGCGCATCTCGTCCTCGTTGAGCATCTTCATGAGCTCCTCGCGCGCGTCCTCCGCGCGGTCACGATCGTTGCTGTCCACCACGAAGATGAGGCCCTGCGTGCCCTGGTAGTAGTGGCGCCACAGCGGGCGGATCTTGTCCTGGCCGCCGACGTCCCACACGGTGAAGCTGATGTTCTTGTACTCGACCGTCTCCACGTTGAAGCCGATCGTCGGGATCGTCGTGACGACCTCGCCGAGCTTCAGCTTGTACAGGATCGTGGTCTTGCCAGCGGCGTCGAGGCCCACCATCAGGATGCGCATCTCCTGCTTGCCGATCAGCTTGGCGAAAAGCTTGGTGAATGCCATCCCCATGACTGCGACGCGCTTCTGATGACTCGGCGGCAGGGCGATGTTGTGAAACCTCACCTCGTGTCTTTGAGATGCCAGTACCTTGGGCCGAAACGGCTGAGTAGGTGTATCTCCGCCGACACATGTGCATCTCACTTCTTGCGAGTCAAGGCAAACAATTGGCCGGTGTGAGCCCCAAACAGTGACTTGGTGCACTCTGGACGCGCAATGCGTGCGTGTGTGTGGCAGGAACTACATGCTGCACGCCATGTGGTGGAAGCCGCGTGCTGCAACCCACGCGTTGCAAACTAGATGTGGTGCACGATGTGTGGGGGCAAGCCATGTGGTGCCCTCTGTGGTGCACGCTGCATCGTGCAATGTATCTGGTGACAGCTCACCGTGTGGTGCAGCCTGCGAGGGGCAGCCAGCGCACGGGGCGCCCACGAGGCACCCCCGGGCAGTGGCCAGAGGAGCAGTCCCCACGCGCGGTGACGGGGCGACGAGCCGGGGAACGCCAGACAGCACACGAGGCGCCCACCCGTCGCCCGCGGGCGGCGACCGGGCGACAAGAAGCAGAACCGCAGGCCAAGGACTCACAACCAACCCCGAAAAGCGCTTCCACATACGTACAGAGGCCTCCCAGATGGGGTCCGAGCAGATGGGGTCGGAGGACCGCGCCGCATCGTCGATGCATCGCCGATGCAGCGGTGATGCAGCGACGACGTCGGCGATGCATCGGCGCCGTCGGCGTGGAGAGATTCTGGTTCCACATCGCCGGCTTCATCGCCAGCAGATCGCCGATGCATCGGCGATGTGGCGCGATCCTTCGGCCCCATCTGCTCGGACCCCGTCAGGGAGGCAGACAAGTGCGAGCACTGTTTCCCGACTCGGGCCCCCCGTCGCCTGAAGCCCAAACTGCGCTACGTTTTACACTTCCACTGCGCCCTTTGAGCTGCAAAGGCACACACACACACAGATGCGCATATCCAGAGCAGACTTCCAACTGACACGTTGGACGCCCCCCTCGACGGGCGCCCCCAGCCAACCCCCTGTTGTTGCTTGGGGCAGCGCTGCCCTGGGAGAAGTAGGAGGTTCGCTCCACCCCGTCTTGACGAAACGCTCGGGCTCAAAATCCTGGGTGGGAGCCCTTGGGGCGGGGCGCTGCGCCCTTCTGATTACACGAGGCAGCGCTGCCCTGAAGAGCGGAGGCCCAAGAGTGATGAGCATGCCGAAGATCAGGGTACACGAGGGAGCATACAAGGGCGAGTGAGAGCGAGGTTAACGATGCGAGTTTTCTTGATATTCAGTGCTGGTGAATGTCATGCTGACAGTGCACGTACGTGTGTGTGTGTGTGTGTCTCATCGCCCAACAGCTTCTCATCATATTCTGCTCCCCCCTTCTCCGCCCTCCCCGTCTCTTCCTCCACCATCTCCTCCTCCTCCTCCTCCTCCTCCTCCTCCTCCTCCTCCTCCTCCTCCACCTCATCCCCCCCCTTGCACAACTGCTCCTCCTCCGCCTCCACCCCACCATTATTCATTCCTCCTTCATCGTCCACCGCTCTCGTCAGTGTTCGTTTCTCATCTCTCTCCAGCCTGCCCCTGTTCCTCTTTCCCCTCCCCATCCTCCTTCTTCCCTCTCTTCCCATCACCCTCCGTAGCCATTTTGGCTCAAGTTCGAAACCTTGCCGCGAGGCTTCGAGCTTGTCCGCAGCCGTGCGGCAGGCTCGGACGATTTCGGCGCGTGTGCCGCCCACACCTTGCGCGGGGCGCGCCATGGGATATCTCGTCTGTCTCGTCTGTCGCGATGCTGGCAAGACTTCGTGGATCCCCGACACCAGCCCCCGCCAGAAGTGTAAGTTTTGCAGTACTCCCTTTCCTGGCCGCTCCAGAGGACAGGTCCAAGGAAAGAAGGGAAGGAGCAAAGGCAGGCGCAATGAGCCTGTCGTGTCCCCTCCCCGTGCTCGTCTCCATGATCGTCATGATGTTGATGGTTCTGCCACTCCCCCAGTTCGGTCTTTGGATGAACGTCTTCAGGCTCCATTGGATGATGAAGTGCAGGATAGGTTTGGATCTGACTTTGGCGACGACGGTAATGGCAGCGATCGTGGTTTCTGGGCTGGCTATGTCGACGACGACGTTGATGGCGGCTGTCGACACCAATGGCAATGAGCTCTCGGTTGCGCAGATTGACCAGATTATCAAGGCCCTGTTGGGCCAGCTGGATTCCCTCCGCCTGCTTCCGCCGACCAGGTATGTTCTCGATCAGGTTTCGAGTCTCCAGGACGAGTTTCAGCATCTCCGAGCACAAAAGTCCGACATGCTTACCGCCCCCCAGAAGCGTGCGTTCTACAAGCAGCGTCATCACTGGGCCAGTCAGTTTGACAAGATCTCTAGCCAGATCCGTGAGTTCGATCGTAAAATCCTGGACCTTCAGAGCGCAAGGGGCGCCCTCTCGTCTCGTCAGGAGCGGGTTGCTCTGGATATGGCTATGTGGCAGGCTAAGTTGCAGGATCTCCCGTCGAGTGAGCCAGGTCCTGAGGGTTTCACGCCCCCAGATCTCTCTGCCGTGGCGGACGTTTTCGCAGCTTCCCAGGCAGTGCAGAGAGACAAGAAGCTTGCTCAGGCGTTGCGTGACCTCCAGGGTATCGGTATGTCTGGCTATGCTCCTGTTGGTAGTGCCGAGAGCCTCGGTCACCGTCTGAGGAGCCCAGGATGTCTGTCGACCAGCAAGGTTCCCCAACACGCGTTGCCAGGGCTCCTCCCCGTACCTCTTCCTCACTGCCGCCTGCGCCGAAACGTCCTGCTCATGCCCCTGATGTTGCAGTTGATCAGTCGGGACAGTCAGGAAGGTTTTCGCCGTCGGCTGCCGCCACCGCTGGCCCAGCCGACACCCCAGCTGTGGTGGAGGGCTCCAATCCCATGGGCCCGTCTGACCTTTAGCACATCGCAGACCCCGCCCGACAAGTCTGCCTTCGGACAGAAGTCGCGTCGGGACTGGGTCATCGTTTCTGTGAACGTTACCTCCTGGTCTAATGCCGATATTTTCCTGGAGGCTTATTCTGATCGGTTTGATGCTGTTGGTTTTCAAGAACTCTGTCGTACAGAAGAGGCTATTGAGTTCGCAGTCAACCGTGCTCACAAGCATGGGTTCCATGCGCACCTCCACCCCTCAGTTAGTACTCAGAAAGGCGGATTGAGTTCAGGAGTGGGCCTTGTCTCGCATTATGCCAGGTCCTTCTCTGGACTTGCATTGGATCCGATTGTTGCCATGCCCCTTCCAGAGAGATTTATCTTGAAGCTATGGCATGGGGTCGTGGATTCAGGTATCCCTTGGGCCAATGTATATTTGCATACGGGGGAAGGCGCCGAGGATCGAAATGCCCAGCTACTGATGCAGGTGGCAGCAGTCATGAAGACCATATCCACCCCCTTTGTCACATCAGGGGACTGGAACATGTCCCCCAAGGACTTGCAGAATACGGACTTCTTAACGCTCATAGGTGGGGTCACTGTCGCGCCAGATCGCCATACCTATGAGTCTGCGGGTGCCCAGTCGTTGATTGACTACTTTGTGGTTCACCCCTTGCTCTCGGCAGCAGTTAAGTGTGAGGTCTGGGAGACCCCCCTGATCCCCAAGCACCAGCCTGTCGCTCTTACCCTTCGTGGAAATCTCCACCCAGATTTGGTATCCATTTTTCGGCGGCCGCCACATATCCCTATTATCCGTCCAGTGGGGTGTTCAAACTGCCCGCCTTCCTGGGATGCCTTTCCTGATCCTGACGCAGTCAACTCTGTGGAAGATTTGGAACGCCTTACCTCTTCTTGGCTGAAGACGTCTGCCCAGGAGTTGCTTGCCCTTTTCCAGTTGCCAGATCCGCAGGATTGCACCAAGTGAGGTGAGCCTTCCTCGACCATCCAGATCTCGGTTTCCAGACTGTTTCCTGGTGGTGTGCTTTCGTCATGCGAAGGAAGGCTCTGGAGGTATCTCTCTAACCGTCTTGGTACTCTTCTATATCTTGCTGACAAGCAGCTGTGGCCCGCATATCGGAGAGCCTGCCAAGCCCTGCGCCGATATCGTCCTTCGCAGCGTGATGGTGGTCCTCCCCCCGATTGGTCGTGGTGGAGGTATTATGCCAACAGGCTTGATACCCTAGATCTGGGTTCCATAGACTGGCTGCGGGGCGTCTTGGGTGAGTCTGCATCTGCTCTGGAACGTGCAGCATCGGCGCAGAGGTACCAATCCTGGACATCATGGGCCATTCGTTCGGTCCAGGAAGGGGGTTCTGCTGCGCACCGATTCGTCAAGGGATCTATGGATTGGGCTTCCTTTGACAAGACCACCCCGAACCCAGATGCCCCAGTCGGTACGCCGCAGCATCATCTCAAGGCGCGAGAAGTAGCTTGGCATGCTATCTGGGAGCCCATGCAGGAGCACCCTGACGATCCTTGCCGAGCCCTGGATTTTCCGCCGATGCCGCCCGACTGCCTTGCATCCTTGCCTCACCCGTCCCTGGACAAGTACAAACATATGTGTCGCAAGTACAAAGCTCGTACGTCGGTGGGATTGGACTTTATGCATCCACGTCACCATGCGCTGCTCTCCGACTCGTCTCTCCTTGCCCTGTTTGGTATCTGGCGTGCTGTTCTGCGATTGGGTAGATTTCCTCCCATTCTCGCTGTTTTCATCATGAATCTGATCCCGAAGCCTGATGGTGGCGAGCGCACGGTTGCCCTATTCACGACGTGTGCGCGCACGTTCTCTCGGTTCTTCAGGCACACGTATGGTGCTATGTGGGCGCGATTGCATCCTCGACCGTGCGTGTATGGTGTGCGCGGTCATTCCTGCCAGGCATGTGTGTGGCGCATGGGCGTGCTCACGGAGTTAGCATCTGCCAACGGTTTGTCTGTGTTTGCACTTTTGCTCGGCGCCCAGAAGGCATTTGAGCAGGTTCGCCACAAACTTCTCATAAGACGTGCTAGTGAGTTTGGTTTTCATCCAGCACGCTTGAGGGTTTTCCTGTCTCTGCATCGTTCCCCACGTGTTGTCGCGTTGCGGCGAATTGTTGCGGAGTGGGTCAGAGCTAGCAAGACTATTGTAGCAGGTTGCTCTTTTGCCGACCTGTTTATGCGTATTTTATTGATGCCCGAGTTGGATTCGTTTCGTCAGTCTTATCCAAATATGCACCTCGGCCTCGTCGCCGACGACGTCCAAGTCCTGGGGATAGGCTCGGAGAGGGAGTTGCTCAAAATCGGTCCCGATGCGTCGCACCTTTTGATGAGCAAGCTTACCTTCTCGGCATGTTTACCGCTCTCCGAGAAGAAAATCGTGCTCTTGGCTACCGACCCCCAGTTGGCTCAGAGCATTGCAGCTGAAACTCCCCGTCTCGCTGGTGCAGTCAAGTTCTCGCGCCGAAACCTCGGGATTGACTATCAGCTACGTCAGGGGCGTCGTTCTCGTCCTATTCTTACTGGCCGATTGAAAAAAAAAGGCAAGGTTTAAGGCCCGTCGCCTATTGAAGATAAAGAAGGCCGGTGCAAAGGTAGCAGGTATTGTAAACACTAACTTGCGGCCCACTGTCATGTGCGGCATTGACGTCGTCGGTCTATCTACTCACCAGATTCGTCAGGTCCGTGCTATATACCACGCTGGTCTCGGCGCAGGTAAGCGTAGGTCTGTCACGATGGATTTGGCGTTGCATGGTGTTACTGATCCTGCTATCGATGCTCATGCTGAGGTTATTCGTCTCTGGACTGTGTCTAGATGGGACTCTCTTCTTCCTGTCGGAATGATAGATCAAGTTTTCCAGTTTGCCTACGCCAAGGTGACGCCAGATACCCCGTGGACTGAATTGCAGGGCCCAGGACAAATTTTGGTTGCCACTATGCGTAGAATTGGGTGGTCTGCGGTTTCGCCTACAATATGGCGTACTTCTCTTGGAACCGACGTTGGTATTTCGTCTACTTCCCCTCGTGAAGTGGTGGCACTAGTGATTCGCGACGCGCCTGTCTGGTCCTGGAAACAGGCCTCTGAGCGTCACCCATCCTTCAGTCACCTGTCTGCCCCCCCCTTTCTTCTCCCTCTTCTTTCCCTTTTGTCTAAAAAGACTGAAGGATGGGGTGTCCTCCAGCAACGTGCGTTGGGGACCTTTTTATCTGGGGGCATTTACTTTAAACCTGCGTGCCCATTTGCCAGGTCGCCCCCTCTGACCCCGTGTTTCACACCCTGTATGAGTGCGATGGGCTTGTGGAGTTTCGTCGTTGGTTCGGCCCGACTCCAGCCCTCGCCCTTTGCATAGAGCAGTACCGCGAGAACCCTGTCTGGACCGCTGCCTTGGTTCCCGACCCTCGCTATTGCTCCCTGCTCGCACAACCTGTTCCAGACCCTGTCTGGGAAGGAGCCACAGACGGCCCTTTCTTCTTGTCGCCCGCGTTTGGAGACGGCTCGGGAAAGCATGGTCCCTCGCCGCTCACTCTCCGCTGTGGATGGGGTGTATGCTCATTTGCTCCGCGTAGTCGCAATGTTTTCGGAGAGGCCATCGCCAATGATCGGCTTCGGCTTAATGCTGGTGCATATGGCGCATATCCCTTTCTCACCCAGGATGTCTCAGGGGCTGAGCTTTATGCGTTTTTATTTTACCTAACCCATGCTGCCCCCTCTGACTGCTATGAGTTTGTCACTGATGCCCAGTGCGTTGTGGACGGATGGGCATTGGGGTATGAAGCTACCACGCACGGATGGGCCACTCACGCATCCTTGTGGGTCCGTGTCCACCGTGCGGCTTCAGATATTGGGTATCATTTAATTAAGGTCACCAAGGTTCGTGGCCATTCTACCTGCTGGTAATAAGCAAGCGGACAGACTTGCTAACCTAAGTGCTGACCTACACACACTGGACACGGTACTGCACGACCGTGTCAAGCGCTCTGGATTGCTTGTGCGCAATCTTGGTGTGTATATCGGGCATTGTATAGCATGGATTTTCAAGAACGTGCCCAAAAAGGCTTGGGTGGTGGATTATGATGAGTCCCCCGCCCCCACGGCCCCATCCCTAGTCCTCTCTGGTGCCTCCTCTGGGGCATTGCATGAGCACTTCTGGGGCCCCTCGGCGGGTCGGTTTCGATGCTTGAATTGTTGGGCTAGTTCAGCTTCCAAGAGCTATGTATTGCGTTCGCAGTGTTCTTCTCCCACTGGCGGTGGGCACGTGCTCAGGCGGCTAAATAATATCATATTTTGTCGACGATGCGGCCGCTACTCGTGCAAGAAAGCAGTTGGTTTAACTAAATTATGCTCTGGGCCCCCTCGGGCCTCTGGCACCATCTCACGGCTTCGACGCATGCGTGATGGTCGTGACCCCTGCACTGGTCAACCAGTCGGTGAGGTCACTGCGGTTGACAATGTCAACGTTATATATGCCTTTCCTGCCCCTCACGATGTCTTTAATTTTCAGGCATTGTTCGATCCTGCATGGCTTCTAGAGGCCCCGTCGATTTCTCGTGTATATTTCGGAGGTGGGGTGGATGTAACGATTCTGGTGTGTGTGCTGCCCACCGAGCCGCACGGGCACGCCTAGGGAAATCTGGTCTGTCTCGTCTGTCTGATGCTGGCAGGACTACTCGGATCCCCGACACCAGCCGCCAGAAGTGCCGTTCTGCAGTACTCCCCTTCCTGGCCGCCACAGAGGACAGTCTCCAGGAAGTAGGGTAGGCTTGGGATAAGTGGGTACAGAGGCGCTGAGAAGCAGGCACCCGTTCCGCCTGCGCCCACTTATCCCGTCTGTGTTTTTGTCATTCCTCCCCTGGCCAGGCTCGCAAAGAGAAGACTCTTGCCTGCCCGCCGCGTGGGGATAGCTGTGCACGCCTCTCTGTCTGTGCTTCCTTCTCTCTACAGTCGGACAGTCGGACAGTCGAAGTGTAGGATAGGCTTGGGATAAGTGGGTACAGAGGCGCTGAGAAGCAGGCACCCGTTCCGCCTGCGCCCACTTATCCCTTCTGTGCTCTTGTCATTCCTCCCCTGGCCAGGCTCGCAAAGAGAGAAGACTCTTGCCCGCCCGCCGCTTGGGGTTTTCTGTGCAGCCTCTCTGTCTATGCTTTCTCCCTACAGTCGGACAGTCGGACATAGGCTAGGCTTAGGATGAGTGGGTACAGAGGCGCTGAGAAGCAGGCACCCGTACCGCCTGCGCCCACTCATCCTTTATGTGCTCCTTTTGCCCCCCCCCCAGCCCAGGCTCGCGAAGAGAGGAAAGGGCTCTCCGCCGCCTTGCTGGTCTGTTGTATAATGTGCTGCCTGGCAGGTTGAGGCTGGAAGCCCAGGAGCCAGGACGCGGGCTTCAAATTGTTTCACCAGTCTTGCCAGCATCGCGTGTCTCGGGCCCTCGAGTTTTCGTTGTCCCTTTTTGCTCGGGTCGGTCCCTCGCTCGGCTCTGTTCGGGTCCTGGTCCGTCCCTCGCTTCTTTCGGCCCTTCTTCGGGCCCCTCGCTCGTCGTTTCGGCGCCACGGGCAGGAGTGTTCGGCAGACGATCACCCGCGCGCAAATCAAAATCAAGATCTCTTCCCATCACCCTGCTGCTTCCTCATTATCCTGATGCTAGTGTTTCTCGTGGCTGCTGCTGCTGCTGCTGCTGCTCATCCTCCTTGAAGCTCCTCTTCCTCCTCATCCCGCCTCCCTGCACTTCTCTCATCGAAACCCTGCTCTTCTCCTCGCGAGTGCGCAAGTCTTCGCCCTCACGCTTGCAGCGGATGGTGTGTAGGTGTCGGGCCTTCTTTTTCCAGCAGCTAACCACACCGCTGCCTTTCGCACCAGCAGGTTCATGCTGGGCCCCATGCAGGGTCTCGAGCAGGAGTATGGCAGGGGGGACTTATAGCAACCCTGCGAGCAGGGAAAAGGAGGGAGGGAGGGAGGCGAGAACAGGGGGAGGGGGGGGATCAAGTGGGGGGGCGACTGCGTGAGCGTCGGCAGGCACCGGTTCCGCAAGCGTGGCCTCGGCCCATCCCCGCCGCACAGGCAGAGCTACAAAGGCCTCGACGATGTCAGGAAAAAAGCGAGAACTAGGGCAGCGATATCCCTGAGTTAATTGGTGAGCCCAGCGTCGCTTGGGAACGCAACGGGCAGTTGTCCCATCAGGGCTCCGGCCCCTCACTTCTTGGAGGAGAGCGTCCGCGACATCCAATCCAGGCCCTCGTAGAGGCCGTCGCCGGTCGTGGCGCAGGCCGACTGGATGAACCACTGGCGGTTGCGCATGTTGTGGAGGCCCAACTTTTCGGTGACCTCTGCCGCCGGCATCGCGTTCGGGAGGTCCTGCTTGTTGGCGAAGACGAGCAGCACGGCATCGCGCATCTCGTCCTCGTTGAGCATCTTCATGAGCTCCTCGCGCGCGTCCTCCGCGCGGTCACGATCGTTGCTGTCCACCACGAAGATGAGGCCCTGCGTGCCCTGGTAGTAGTGGCGCCACAGCGGGCGGATCTTGTCCTGGCCGCCGACGTCCCACACGGTGAAGCTGATGTTCTTGTACTCGACCGTCTCCACGTTGAAGCCGATCGTCGGGATCGTCGTGACGACCTCGCCGAGCTTCAGCTTGTACAGGATCGTGGTCTTGCCAGCGGCGTCGAGGCCCACCATCAGGATGCGCATCTCCTGCTTGCCGATCAGCTTGGCGAAAAGCTTGGTGAATGCCATCCCCATGTCTGCGACGCGCTTCTGATGACTCGGCGGCAAGACGAGGTTGTGAAACCTCACCTCGTGTCTTTGAGATGCCAATACCTTGGGCCGACACGGCTGAGTAGGTGTATCTCCGCCGACACATGTGCATCTCACTTCTTGCGAGTCAGGGCAAACAATTGGCCATTGTGAGCCCCAAACAGTGACTTGGTGCCCTCTGGACGCGCAATGCGTGCGTGTGTTTGGCAGGAACGACATGCTGCGCGCCATGTGGTGGAAGCCGCGTGCTGCAACCCACGCGTTGCAAACTAGATGTGGTGCACGATGTGTGGGGGCAAGCCATGTGGTGCCCTCTGTGGTGCACGCTGCATCGTGCAATGTATCTGGTGACAGCTCACCGTGTGGTGCAGCCTGCGAGGGGCAGCCAGCGCACGGGGCGCCCACGAGGCACCCACCCCGAGAGAGACCCGAGATGACTCCAAGAGACCTCAGAAAAACCACGCTCAAGGCCGCTCTTGTACTGCATGCTTGAATAGTTCCCCTGATCAAGGCCACTCGCCTGGCGATCTGTTTCTGGGTGGGCTGGTGGGGATGCGCGAAGCGTCGAGACTTCTGCCGCCGAGGTATGGTTTCCCTAGGCGGGTCGTGCTCATCGGGCAGTCTGAAGGGAACGCCAAACGGCACCTGCCAGGCGCGTTGCCCACGTGGCGCCTGTCGTGTTTGGCGCGGTCCTTCTGTTTGCGGGACGCGGCCAATCTATTGGAACAGCGTCGCTCCGATAGCCCAATCTCGGGGATGGACAGACCTCCCTTTAGTAAAACGTGGTTTAGTGAAAACGACCTGAGGCGCAAACCTGGCGGGCGCAAGCCTGGAAAATAACGGCCGCGGCGCCCTCTCGAGAACCGAAAACGGACAATTCACTAATCGACGTGTTACTGTTGGGGGTTCTGTCCGCCCCCGAAGAGTCTTCAGATGGGGCCGGGGCCCGACATTCCCAACTCTCTCGGGGCTCGTCGAGTCTCCTCGGGGCTCGTCGCGCGAATTGGTTCCGGGCCCGCGGGGGCCCCGAGACGGGCCGAGAGGGCCCCGCGAGGCTCCCGGGACAGTCCCCGAGGGCCCCGAGTCGCCGAACGATCGCGCGAAGACGCTCGAGGTGGCCCCCGGACGGCCCAAGAGGCCCCCAAGACGCCCCAAGGAGACCTCCCAGGAGGCCTCCCAAGAGGCCTCCCGAGAGGTCACCGTTCTGCCTTCGGTGCTTGATAGGGCTCTGGCGCTCTCGCCTGCTCGGCCGCCCTGTTTCGGTGGGCGTGGCCCCAAACTGTATCTGGTCAAACCACGTCCCGGTCGGTTACCCCCGCAGGACCCCGCGTCCCATGACATCGTGTGTTTGTGGCGACCTGCCCACAAGACCGAACACGTTGGACGTCATCGTTGGATGTCATCGTCGTGGTGATCTTTCCAGGTACGAGGAACGAATATGTGGGTGGAAGTTCTAAGGTGGACCAGTAGGCCTGCAGCTTGGTTGCAATAGAGCCACCCGTATGTAGCATTAATCCAAATACGAATTCACAATACTTTGAACAATGAGGTCTCCTACACGGTTCCCTCCGGACGAAAGTCTTCTTGAGAAACCAAGTTGAAATATGCTACCTAATACTCCAAGCCGTTCCAACATGTCGACGCACATGTTGGTGCCGTAGCACAGCTCCGCAACTATGGTGTAGATGTTAGCCTGCATATATGTGATGGCTCATGGCGTATACATATATATATATGTATATATATATATAGATCGCCTTATCAATCATATTCAAAGATTTTGACTAGAGCATCGTGTCTCCAAACAATCATGATATCTTTACCGAGTTCACCCAAGTCGTCGCCGCAACCACGCGGCGCGGTATTGCCCCAACTTCTGTTTCCGTTTTGAGTCTCTCTTTCTGTGTCTCGAGACTCCATCGGAAGCGTGCCGGTTTCCCCTTCCTTATGGGCACCTGTCTTGTCGGAATCATCAAAACATGATTGCTGGGTACCCTCGCCCATCTCCGAAGTTGAGAGGGGAAAGGGGAAATCATATGTGATGACGTGTCTTCGTATCTTCAGTGATTGATGGGGCTCGTATCTGAGCAACATCGGACCCTCTGTCTGTCAGTGAAATTGCGTATTGATGTTGGCGACTTCCTTGGGGAGCTCTGCCAACCAATAGCATCCGACTGGCTGGTCCGCAACCATAGGGTCCTGAATTGCACGTTGCATGTCCAGGTCAAACGTCATCCGGGGCGCCACGTCTGAGCATTTCGTTCCCGTGGCGCATGTGGTGACGTGGTTACGTTCTCCACGTTCGGTACGCGTAGATATTGTAAGATGCACGAATATGTGCTCCAGCGTGGTGTCCACAGCTGGTCCTATGAGTTTGTCGTGAACGATCCTGATCAACTCGATGATGCGCGCTTGCCTTCGCCTTCCGGTCCGGCGTTGCGTCTTACCGTACTTGTCCAAATCATGGTGCTGTGCAGATTCGTCACAACTGCAATGCCAGTGTGGTTTCAGACTTCCTCCCACTCCCTTCCCTCTCCCCAACCCACCTCAGCAGTGGGGAACGGGTCATGAGGGACACGGGCCTTGGCCCCAGGGCCTTCCCCCAAGGTCACTTGTTCATCCCGAGCCGCTTCCTGTCGATCACAGAGCCCGAAAACGGCAAAAAAACCTATGGAGCCGTGCCCCTCAGGACCCACTTACCCTAGGGCGACCTGCCTCATCCCTCCATCCCTCCTCGCTCCTCCCTCCTGCTCCCAGCGGCTCGCCCGTGACGCGATGCGCCGGCGATGGGTGGGACCCCCGGGGGGAGGGGGGGGCGCGGCGGCTGGGCGCGGGGTGGGGGAGCCTGGAAAAAAGCTGCGGGGAGGTCGCGGAGGAGTGGCGGTGAAGAAGGGGCCACCGCACAGGGTCAGCCGCTCACCTTGCCATCGCTGCGGCGTCCCTTCCCCGCGCACTTTTCGGCCGCGTGCGCTCCTTGTTTCGCAAGATGGGCCCAGATGCTCTTCGATGGTCCTCGCTTCGACGAGAAGTTCGCACACGTCCGAGCGATACCCAGGCACCGTCCAATGCCGTGGGCGCCGTGCACCCTTAGGGCTGCAAGGCAGCGGGACCTGGGCTGCCCTTCCTCGAGTCGCGGCCGTGCGGCGCCGTGGACCTCGAGGGCGCCGTCTGGAGCTGCTGCGGCTCCCCGGACGGGGCCCGGCTGCTGACCGGCGGAGGGGACAACGCGCTCGTGGCCGAGCGGACCTCCGGCAGTTTATGTTCATCCCGCTTTTTGTTCGCCCAGTGTTGGTCGCGACGCGAGCGGGCCGGGGCTCCTTGCGCGACAGGACCTGGGCAAGGTGACCACTGCGAAGGCCTTACGGCCGGTGTCGCCGAGCCTGAAGGGGGACGACGACGACGACGAAGACGACGACGACGAAGAAGCCGACGACGAAGACGACGACGGCGGCGACGACGGCGACGACGACGGCTACGGCGACGGTGGCGACGGTGACGCGCGACGCGAGCGGGCCTGGGCTACTTGCGCACCGCAACGACATCAGGGGCAATGATAGGGGGGGATTGGCAAAGGGGGAATGCATCGGCCCCCAATCGCCCATTGATCGCCGATAGGGGCCCGATAGCCCCACCCCGCAACGTGGGGGTCTGCCTTCGGGGACCAATGGGCGCCATATCGGCGATTCCAGGTCGATGTTTCCCTCCCAATGCCAGAAAACCCCCCATCGTTGCCCGGGAGGGGGACCTGAGCCACCTCGCGTCGTGAACAAACATCAGGACAGGAAGGTTTCTGGGGAGATTTTCGGCTCCTGGGGGCCCTGACTGGCAGCCTTGACGGACGTCACGTTCGTTGTCCTTATTTGCCAACTTTTCCTTCCCTTCCTCTTCCCAGGTTTCCCCGAATAGTTTTTGCATTTAGGGGTGTTGATCAATCTCATTAGAGAATTGGACGGGTTAAGCGAGGTTTCGCCACGTTGCCACCCGTGGCCGCACTGTGGCCGCCTCGTGCGCTGGGTGGGTCCGGCAAGGTTTCGCCACGTTGCCGCCCGTGGCAGCCTCGTGGCCGCCTCGTGCGCTGGGTGCGTCCAGCGAGGTTTCGCGGTTTCGCCACATTGCCGTTCGTAGCCGCCTCGTGGCCGCCTCGTGTCCGCCTCATGCGCTGGGTGGCTCCGGCGAGGTCTCGCCACGTTGCCGCCCGTGGCCGCCTCGTGGACGCCTCGTGCGCTGGGTGGCTCCGGCGAGGTCTCGCCACGTTGCCGCCCGTGGCCGCCTCGTGGCCGCCTCGTGCGCTGGGTGGGCTCGTCAAGGTTGTCCCATTTCGCCGCCCGTGGCCGCCTCTTGGCCGCCTTTCGGTTGCAATAAGCACACTGCATCACATAGCTAACACCACATAGACTGCATCACATAGTTTACACATCCACAGTGCAAAAACTTCCTGTTTGGGATCCACGTCGGCGAACATTTGATGTTCAATGGAATTAGAATGGTCGTGGTCACTGTTCACTGACGTCCAGAGGCCTTGTAGGAAAGAAGAACAAAACGTCAAACATCGACTCCAGATGAAGGGATTAAGACATCCAGGGGTCCAGGCCGTGAGAAAATTATTCGGCGTCGTGGCTCTGGGGAGGAAGGAGGAGGGGGAGGATCCTTGCGGAAATGTTCAAGAGAGTCTAAGGATGTTCGGGAGGAGACATGATGAGGACGAGGGGGAGGCGAGGAGGAAACATTAAGCATTCAAATGGATGGACCTGCCTCCGAAAAACTGGGTCCGAGAGGAGGAGAGATGAGAAGGAGGAAGAGAGAGGATGAAGCGTAGCATGATAACGGAAAAGAGGATGAGGAGAAGGCCAATATAATAAAAGAGCTGGAAAAACAACATAAGGAGATGAGCATGAGCAAACTCAATAACGTGATAGCAAGTGGCAGCAGGATGCTGGAATGCCGCACTCTCGAACGTTGAGCGTACTTGCCTAAGCTCATTCCGAACGCACTTGCCACGACCGTCTGCCTTCCTTCTTCCTTTCCTCCGCCCTCCCACTGCCCCCTGCCCGCCTCCCTCCTACCCTCCCCACCTGGCTCCCCCCTTCCCCTTGTCTCCTTCATTTCCCCCTTGCATCCCTCCCTCCCTCTCTCCGTACTCCTCCTGGTCCTCCTCGTCCGTCGGCTCCTCCCAGTTCTTGCACACCTTCTCCTCCTGCTCTCTTCCTCGACTCGGCCATCGTCTCAGTCCCTGGTTTCTTCCTCCTTCGGCTCCGCGTCTTCCTTAGAAAACCATCGATCTGATCCAGGGTCACGTGGTGATCCGCAGATGGTCAATACTATTCCGGATGCGACCAAGACGTGCACCGATTAGGTAGAACGAATAGTGAGGCAGGAGCAGCACAATAAAGAGGGGGGAACACGAGAAGGGGGAGCACGAGGCAGGGACGGGGGAGGATGAAGAAGAGCCTCCGCTGGCGCTACTCCCCTCACAATGCCCAGGAGGTCTGGGCCCCCTGGAGGTCCCCGCATGACTCTGGAGGTCTCTGGAAGGCTCCACCGGCCCGAAAATCAAGAGCCACCAAACGCTGCATCCCCGAACCTCGAACGCACCGGAAGGCAGCGCGGCGGGACGCAGCCCGCTCGCCTCTTCGGCGCGGCTCCCAGGCCAGCGCCGCCCATCGTGATTCCGGCCGCGCCCCGCCGACGGCCGGAATCCCCCCCCGAAGCCCGCGGGCCTCACTCCCAGCCCCTCCTCATCCTGAACTTGGCCGCCGTCGAGTCCGCCGTCTTGTCCCTCCTGTCCAGGAAGCGGGCCCCGGTGGCGGCCCTGCAAGGCCGGCCACCGCCGGTGGAGCTGTGCTGCTTGACATCCCCGGGGCGCACAGCGGCGTCGACGCCCCTTTGGGGAGATCGTCGGCGCCCGATGGGTGCCCCCCCCCCAGGAGAGTACAGTCGACACGCATAGTGAGGATGCGCGGTAAGGGTGCAAGGGCCTTGGAAGGCCACGTTGGCGCTTTGCGCACGGACTCGGCCAGCTTCAAGCTGCCAAGGGTGGGCTGGAGGTGCACAGATGCGAGGGCAATCAAGCTTGGAAAATTGCTCATTCTTACCATGCGCTCGAAATGCAACAGACCTGCAATCAAAAGTAATTACCCTGGCGACGTCCCAAACCCCTGCGCAATGCGGAGCATGAGTAGCTTGGGAGACGTTATACGGAGGTGATGTCGTGACATGGGCGCATATACTTCTGCGAGCGGCATTCGTGAGGCTCGCAGCCCCCCAAGGATTGCGATGTCTCGCTTAGATTTGCCTGGTGCCTCGCTCCGCTGAACCCGCCACCAGCATTCGAAAGTTGCGACGGTTTCGCAGATCGCAGCCCCCCAAGGACGGCGAGGCCCCGCTCAGATCTGCGCGGTGCCTCACTCCGCTGGACCCCAAGCAGCCCTCGAAAATTGCGACGGTTTCGCAGATCGCAGCCCCCCGGGCACGGCGAGGTCCCGCTCAGATCTGCGCGGTGCCTTACTCCGCTGGACCCACCAACAGCCCTCGAAAATGGCAACGGTTTCGCAGATCGTCCCGCTCAGATCTGCGCGGTGCCTCACTTCGCTGGACCCACCAGCAGCCCTCGAAAGTGGCGACAGTTTCGCAGATCGCAGCCCCCCAGGGACGGCGAGGTCCCGCTCAGATCTGCGCGGTGCCTCACTCCGCTGACCCACCAGCAGCCCTCGAAAGTGGCGACAGTTTCGCAGATCGCAGCCCCCATCGTCGGCGCAGAGAGGGCAGGAGGAGGAGGGAGGCGGGAGAAGGAGGGACGCGACCACAGTGCTCTATTCAAAACGAATACCCAACCAAGGAGGGTTGGGAAAAACCATGAAGTCATCGAGGTCCATGCAGGTTCCTTGGGTCGGCGGTGGGCCCTCCCTGGCGGCGCCTCCAGCACCACCGCCGGCGCGCCGTGGGGGGGCCCCACACCGACCCAGAAGGGTCGCGCGGACCTGAGAAGGCGCATGTTCATGCCGTCTCTTGCTCCCTCGAGGAAAACACCACAGCCCCCCCGTTGCGGATGGACTGCCTGTTCTCGCCCGCGACCGCGGGCTCCTCCACGTTCTCCTGTTTGCGCGGGGGGCGCCTACACACCACCACCGTGCCTGGCCAGGGGCAGCCTGGACCCTGGTATTGGCTCTCACGCCCGCTGGCGGAAGCCAGGAGGGTCGATGCGCCCCATCCCAGGGCGCTGCATAAACAAAAACACAAACTTTCGGAACTCAGCCTGGACATCTCGGATCGGCGCAGGAACCCCATCCATGGCGCGCGGACCGCGCCATGGAGCGGCGCCAGGGGGAGACAACGCCGACCCAACAATTCCGCGCGGATCTCCGAAAAAATATGTTTATGCAATTCTCGGCTCTTCGCCTTCCTTGCCCGCCTCCCACCACCAGGAAGCAGCAGCGGGAAGGGCCAGGGGGGATCTGATCTGCCTTCTGGTTGTGTGGTCCCCCCTCTCGCTCGAGACATCCCCTTCCCCCAGCTCGTGGAGGCATCATGGATCTCCGCGCTGGAGGTGTCCCCTCTAGTGGTGGTGGTGGTGGTGGTGGTGTCGCTTCTCCTTCCCCTGACCCTGGGAAACCAAAAGGTACCGATAGCGCTACTCCCCGGACCTCTCCCCGGGTGCGTTCTGACCAGGACTTCGCGGCGCATCCGGCGCTGGTGACGAAGGCCTCCCAGAAGGCCCCAAGAGGACGGAAACGAGCCGAGGGCAGCTGTAGGGCTACCTCTTCCTCCTCTGCCATCTTTGTCCGCTGCGAACCCTGAAATTCCCCAGCTTGTGACGTGAGCCCGAGAGCTCGAGAGCTCGGCGCGAGAGCTCGATCGATCGATCGATCCTTGTCCGCCTCCCAGGGACGCGCCGTCCACGCCGCCAAGCGCGACGACCCCCCGGCGGCTTCCCGCGCCGGCGGCGCCGGCGCCCGGCCCCCCGGCAGCGCAGGGGCGGGCGGCCTGCCGCGCACGGCGGCCACCCGGAAGAAGCTGGTCAGCTTGCCCCGGTCCTGGCGCGAGGGGCAGCGCTGCACGTCGGTCGGAGGAAGTGGGCAGGGATACAGCGCGAGCGCGGCCGCAACACAAACGCACGCAGAAAACCCAACCCTGAAAACCCACGCGCGAAGTGCGCCAGAGGGGACACCTGGAGCACTCTGAACGCAGCAGCTCCCTCAACGGCCGCGGGAAGTCGCCGCGCAGCGCGCGGGGCATGACGAAAAACATCTGGCTTCTTGATGCGCGCCCCCACTGTATGGAGTGCAGGAAGGCGCTGAGAGAATATTGGCGGCGGTGGGCAATGTTCGTCCATCGGGGGGCCCCTGCCAAGGCCCCTGGGCGAGCACAGACTGACACGGGATGAACAACCGGCGTTTTGGGAGGGGTAGGGGCGCCCGGGGAATCCGCGAAAAAACACGGCGACGGGGGTCTGCGATGGGGGGCCGGGTCGAAGTCTAGTTTTATGTTGGGTTTGTTCTCCTACAAACCATTTTTTGGTAAACAAGTTCCCCCGATGACGATTCTAAACAAACTTGGGGAATACTCCGGATATTTTGCGGGAAAAGCCACGATACGTGCTGGATTATGTTTTTCACGATGTTCCCCTCGCGTGTTTCGGCGCGCGTAAAATACACAGCGCCCTGCGCGCCTGACGAAAGGAACAAACACCTTTTTTCAACGCCGCGTAAATTTTGGCCGCGTCTATTTCGATACAAAAGAAACCCGGCACACACTCAATGGCTTCGCGTTCGCGCGAGGGCGGCCCGACCCTGCTGCGCACTCAGCCGGCTCCACGCGGTTCGTTACTACTGGTCTCGCCTCGAAGACAGGCGACAGACGCAGCGTGTGCCCTGAGGGCACAGGACGGAAGCCACCAGAAGACAACCAATCCAAACGTGTAGACGATCCAATGGCAACCGCTGATCGCAACGCGTGCATATGGCAAACGAGAAGCGCCGCAACATAAAACTAATGGTCCACGGGGGTTGGCGGAACGCTGCAAGCTCGTCCTTTCTATCGATCGGTCGATCGGTCAATTTTCCGATCGACCGCTCGACCGACCCCCTTCCCCCGCGTCCCCCCCCCGCCCCAATGCGCAAACTCTTGTCAATAGAAGCGTGGGCGGGTGCGCGGGAAACTGGATCCAAAATTTGATGCGAACGACTTGACCCTTTTCCCGTCCGGAAGCTGCGTTGCGCGCGCAGGGCGCGCTGCATGTTTGATGCGCGCGCGCGTTGAGAGCCAGTCCCCCAGCGGGATCGGGCACTCATAACGAGGCCGCGACCCTTCTGCGGCGCGGAACGACATGCGTTCGGCGACATGATGGCGCGCTGTTCAGCCAACGAAAGCACCGCATCACCAACGCGCGTCGCGCGCTTGGCAACCCTGACGCCGGGCATCTGAACCGCTAGCGAACCCGCTGCATCGTGTGCCGCATCGGCGCGATGTCGGGCGAAGGGGAGTTGGGGGGGGCATTGCCGCGAGATTGTCGCGTTCTCGAAAAAATGCCGAGGGCCTCTCTTGGAAGACTTGGAACTGTCGGGGATGGCAAAACGCTGCGTCCAGGGATTTGATGTCTCGCGACTGGTCGGCGGGCGTTTCCTGCGGCACATTGAACTCTCAGAGGTCGCGGCGGGGGCATATCTGGAGTATTTCGAAAATTCGCACATGGCAGGGGCAAATCTTCCGAGTTCTCACAGTTCGCAAATTGCACTGGCGTATCTTTGGGACATTCCCCAAAACTCGTAAACTGCACTGGAAGATCCTTGAAGTTTTTGAAACGTCGCAGATGGCACCGGCGCATCTTTTGAGTATTTTGAAAGTTCGCAGATGGCGATGGAGCGTCTGTGGAGTACTTTGACATGTCGCAAATGTCGTCGCTGGAGTGCATGTGGACTAAATACTAAATTCGGGTATAATCGGATTATGTTCGGGGATCTTGTTTTGAGCGCGTGAAATCAGCGGGGTCCTTTGGAACATTATTAAATGCTGGAAATCTGCGGGGAGCATTGTGTGTGTTTGAAATCTGCGGGATGTATCGTTGGAGTATGCGTCGCGCGCGTCGCGCTTGAAATCCTCCAGTGAAGCATGTCGCGCGGTCGGCGAGCGCACCAAATCTCGTGCTGGAGTATGTTATTAACTCGCGGGGTACGTTAACTCGCGGGGTACGTCGGACACTCGCTCCGGGCGTCCGAGGAACAACTGCCGTGCCAGCCGCGACGCCTGTCTGCGCCCTGGATGCCCCGACGGCGCCGATTGGGGCGCGCCGCGGGCTCCCAGCCCTGTTGCCACGCGCGCACTGGGCCCGCCTATCTGCGCGCGCGAGTAGTTGTATACAGACGCGCAGGCGTGCGCGAATAGGCAGATTGCTCTGCCCTGGTTGAACGCGCCCTGTACTCGGTTCCGCGCGATCCGCGAGACCACCTTGCCGATCCACTGGGTGAAGGTCCACATGTGCGCGCGTAGCACTAATCGTACTTTGCCCCATCGCACGCCTGATTGTGCCGTTATCTACTCTGCCATGCTACAACGGCACGTGCAAGCCTCCTCTTCTCTTTTATATCCGCGCGGCCCCTTATGGGGCCACCGGGCTTTAGGCCGAAGCTTCGCAGTTTCCTCTGCCAGCTGCAGCTTCCAATGTCCACTGTTACAGTTGTGCTTTTTGTTGCTTACTGTTCCTTGTTGACTTCTTGCTGGTTACTGTTCCTTGCTGATGGACCGCGCGAGGGGGGGAGGCCCAAAACGACCATTTCTACCAAGCCCTGAGCGCGTTGTCTGAATTGCTGGGGTGGGTAAAAATGACACCCCTCACGCAGATCGGCGGGGTCATGGTCCAAAAACACATGGGGTTTGCCACATTTCTGAAATCCGGTGGCACCCCTCACGCACATCGGCGGGGTCAAGGTCCAAAAACACATGGGGTTTGCCACATTTCTGAAATTCGGTGGCACCCCGTAGGGTCAGGGCCAAAAAACACAAGGGGATTTGCCAAATTTCTGAAATTCGGTGGCACCCGTGACGCAGATCCGTAGGGTCAGGGTCGAAAAAAACAAACGTGTCCCGACACGGCTTCACGGCGGCGCCCAATCCTCGTGATTTAGCTTTTGCATATCCCATTCTCCGAAACCATTCTCCGAAACAGGGGGCCGGCGGCATGGGGCGAAGCCCTTACGGATCAAAACTAGTGACTGTCCACATGGCATTTCTACGCCGACCCAAAATCTGCCCTGCTCGCAACCGACTCCAACCTTATCCTGACTCCCACTACAATCAACCAGACTCGCGGACAACTTCCAGACCAACACCTTCCGTGCGCCATCTTAACTCCTACTCCACTCAGATCTGCTCGATGATGGTATCAAAGGGGTAATGCCTAGTCCTGTCAGGACTGTCCCTCGCGCGCTGCGCAATATACCCCAAGTGCGTGGTTGTCGAAAAAAAAACCCAATGGCCGAACGCGGGAAGCGCCAGTCTACGCGCGCCACCCTTACAGAGAGGGAATAGGGTGAGTATTTTCAACATAGCATGAAAAAATCGCCACACTGTTATTTCCCGCTATTTTTCAAATGTTCATCCTGGACTTGCCCGACTCAAATATACTTTCAGCCTTTCTGCCTACGTCTGTGGCGTCCGGCGGCTTTCACCTCGTGAGTGGGCCTTCTCACATGGGATCGGCCTCGTGCTAGGAGACTTCTGATTGCTAAGAGGACTTCTCAAAAGGCACCAGTGTTTCTTATCTGCAGAGGTGGAGTGCCTTCTTAAGAGGCCGCCCCCTCTCGCAACAAAGCAACACCGATGTCGCTTCTCCCTTCTCTCCTTCCCACGCGCGTGCTGCCCAGGACTGTAGGGCAACTCCAGCCGTGCCGACGAGGATCCCCCCCAAAATGCCCAGAACGGCGACGACGCCGGACAGGGCATCGGGATCGGTGCGTGTCCCACTCCTCCTCCGATCTTCTGCGCGCCGCCGGCCTTCAGCTCGCTGGCCTCGGGCGGGTCCAACTGCTCCAGCACCGCCTGCACCGCCGTGTGCGCCGCGTAGCCGCCGAGCGGGTGTCTCTCGGCGGCGGAGAGGCGCCGCACGCCGGGGCCCGCGGGGGTCGAGGGCGTGGCGGCCTGTGGGGGAACAAACAGACATCGACACGGGCACTCCCCGGACCCGACACCGGGGCGCGTTCTGACCAGGACGTGTTCGACCATGGACTCCTTGTTTGAAGGGGCCCTGGGACACACAAATAAATACACACAAATAAAAATATTCCCCATCTTTTTCCCATATTTTCGGGGTTTTTGTCTTCCCCACCACTTCCCATATTTTTCTATATTTCCTGGGGAGTCGACGATTAATTGTGTCTGTGTTTCTTCCCCTCCTGATTGTTGCCCATCGCTCCTGGACCGTCTTCGGCGATCTTCGGGTGCTTGTCGGCGTTCCTCGGCGGTCTTCTGACGGTCTTCGGCAGTTTCTGGCGGTCTTTGGCGGCTTCCGGCGGTCTTCGGCGCGGAAGCTGGATGCTTACGTTCAACTAGTGGTCCCCGAACGAACACCAACAAATCGATTGCTGGCACACCTTGACCTGACACATGGCGCGTTCTGACCTAAATCTCGCAGAGAACCTGGCCGTGGCGTCGAGGGCCCTCCCGGACGACCAGCGATATCGCCATCCTCTCCTTGTGTGAGTGGCGGCGCGCACACGGGGGTAAGGGCATGGGGCAAGGCTTCTGAGGAGGCTGCTTCGTGGAAGGCGCCGGCTTTACGTCTAGGGGCGAGGCCCGCGCCTTTTCAGAAGCGGGGGTGCGTGGCCGATGCGAGCCTGGCTGGGCGCAGAGCCGCGGCCCACGCCGGCCGCGGAGGCGCTGGCCGCCGTCCGCGGCCTGGCAGAGCTGCTCGCCGCGGGAGCGCTGTCCAGCGAGGCGGGCCCCTCCACGCGGCTGGTGAACTCGGGGTGGCGGGGCCGCTTCGGCAGCACCGTGCGGTCCCCCGCCAACGGCCGCTTCCTGGCGAAGGGGTTCGCGGTCTTCTCCACGGTGTCTGCGGCGGGATCGCCAGGCGCTGGCCTCGCGGCGGGGGGGAGCCGGACCAGGCCGAGTCGAAGAGGGTGCGGCACCGTAGCTACGTCGTCATAGATAACCGCTGCGGATCGCCAGCGCTGCGGCAGTCTATGCTTACGCGCCCCTCTTTCGGCCAAGCGAAATATCGGCCCTCTGCCCCATGGCAGGGAGGAGCATCGCTGATGCACGGGGAGAGGGAGTCCGAAGTTGGCTAAAACTGACCCTGGTAAGCCAGTGTAAACTCCCAGCGATATCGTCCACAACACGCAAACCAATATTTGAACCCTTCTAAGACGGGACTTGGCGGGGCAACTTGGCTAGCGCATGACGCAGGCGGGTCCAGTGGGGAACGAGCCCTGGTCCCCGGGGCCTCGCCCCAGAAACAATTTTTTCGCCCTGAGCCGTTTTCAAACAGTCCTGGAGCCACGAACTGCGAAAAGCCACCCGGCGCTTCCGTCTCGGACTCCGCAAGAACGACTGTGAGGTCCTTTTGTAAATTCCGCTGGTAACCCCCCCTTCCGATCCCCATTCCGCAGGAGACGAAATAGACGCGTCCACGCTACCCGTTTTCGCCGGAACAGCAACCTCCGATCCCGATTTCGGAGACGACGAGTGGCGTGGAAGTGCCCCTCAGGACCAGGTCGCCGGCGCTCCCCTCCCCCGCCGACTCTCGGCGCTCGGGCCCAGCCCTCCCTCTCCTCCCCCCACGGCCGCCCTCTTCTGTTCCGCCTTCCCCCGTGCTCCGCGCTTCGCGCCCGCCGCGCGGCCCGCTGGAAACAACGCCCGCGCCAGCGTCCACCGGCGCCGCCGACGAAGGCTTACGACGAAGGCAGACTCGAGACACAATCGGACCGATACAGATCGGGAATCTCTGAGAATCGGCGGGCTTGGAGGTTACCTCGGGCGCCGCGGCCGTCGGAGCGTTCCGGAACGCTCTGAGAGCTCTGGAACGGCCTCACCTCGATTCTGGGCCCGTCCGGAGACTGTTTCACTCAGGACCCGCTCGCTTCACGGCAAGCGGTGAGGGGCAACGATAGGGGGGACTAGCATAAGGGGGAAGGCGTCGACCTGGAATCGGCGCTGCATCGCCGATAAATCGGCGACAGGCCCCCGATAATGAACCCGGACATTACTGGGCAGCTCTCGGCGATCAAGGGGCGACTGGGGGTCGACGTGTCCCTCCTTATGCCCCTATGCCTATCCTCAGGTCGGGCATGTCCCCCTACAGACGGACGTTGGAAAAAAATGAAACACCGCCAAACATATTCACGAATAGCAAGATAATCGATTCCAGACTATTTGTGGACTACTCTTGAATCGTCTCCAGACTATTTGTGGACTACTCTTGAAGATTCCCCCCGTAGAGGGACATGCCCGACTTCAGCCGATCCCCCCGATCGTTGCCCCAAACTGGGCCCGCCCGAAGACCGTTTCGCGCAGGGCCCGCTCGCTTCATGGCACGCGGGCGTGCGCTGCTGACTGGGCACGACCTGCTGTGCTCTTCCAGCTCTGCCACCATCGCCTCTTCGGCGCAGCATACTCTTTATTTGTATACATATATACATATATATATACACAAGACTGCAGTGGCGCTTCGCGCCATGCACCTTGGTCCCGCCCTTCCCCAGAAGATATGCTGACCGTGGTCCTCCGTGGCACCCGGCGCGTACTTATTTTTTTGGTGGAAAAAATGCGATGTGGGCAGCGCATTGGTGGCCGTTCCCGAGGGGGGCTCTAACTGATAAAAGTCTCCGCAGAACAACGCGTTGATGCCCCCGAACGGCCTGTCCACATCGTCTGCCCCTACTTTCGTGTCACTCGCAGCTGGCATGCACGTCTGCAGATGCGAATCGAGTTCCGCGATGAAGTTTGCGCTCGCCATGCTCACCTCGTCCACAATCAGCCACTTCCACTGCGACATGCGCTGCGCCGCTTGCTCTCTCTTCGTTTTCTTCTTCGTCTCTGCATTGGCATTGACCGCCGCGTCCTTCTCTTTCGTATTGTTCGCACCGAGCCCAAATGCGCTGTGAATCGTATTCCCGTCGAGAGCTGACGCGTTTGTAGCCTGCAACGCTGCCGCCTGGAAATCTACGCCGCGCGTCCACCCCAGCTCTTTTCGAACAGCTCCTTCCGGATCTTGTCCACGACGAAACTCGCCCCAGTCCCCGGGCCGCCATGCAACATCCACGAGAAGGGCTGCATATCAGAACCGCTCTGCCCTGTTGTCTTGCCGCTCGCGGACCTCCCGAATCCTTGCGCCAGCGCGCGATCTGCCACCTTCTCAACGACGCTACGCTGTCCCGCGTTCAACCCGTTCTCCGCAAGCCCTTGCCTCCATCTCCGCACACTTGGCGCTGTTGCTTTCTTGGCCGCCACCACCTCTGGGGCACCTTCCTCTCCACCCGCGCCGCTGCCTTCTGCGGCCTTCGACGCCGCGGCCACCGCTTGCACTTTCTTCACTTCCGCGTGATCCCACCTCGACACACCGCCCCCTCCGCGCTTCTTGCGCTTTCCGTTCATCCGACCAGCGCTCACGCCCCACGCGGCGTCGCCCCTGGCCATGGCCTCCCGGCTCTTCTCCTTTTCGCACTCTCCATGGACGCGCCTCCCACATGCGTCTTCCGCCTTGTCGCCGCGTCGACAATTCTCGGATCCAGTTCTTCATCGCTGTACAGCTCGTCCTCGTGTTGCACTAGATCTTCGCCCGTGACTGGTCGCATGCCCACCGCGCCCATGTAGTTCTGCACGTACCTCTTTGTTTCTTCACATGGCATGCCTTTCTTTCACCACTCCAATGACGCCTCCGCCCACGACCCCTGCGTTCCGCGGAAGTCCCGCAGGTGCGGCACTCCGCATTCGACGTCGTCACGCAGTGTGAACGCCCGAAAATATACCATCAACAAGAGCCCGTTCCTATCCTCCTGCCCCGCTCCGTGCTTCGGCTGCGGCGCTCCATGAAAACTCGGGTTCCTCGGGCGCTCGTTCCGCGCCAGCACCCGCGTGTGCCTCAGAGTTTCCAACTCTGGAACATCCGGGAACGGTGCCCACGAATAACTCTCCCATCCCACCTTGATCACATAATCCACTCCAGCTTTCAATTGGGGTCCAGCCTCGGCAACTCCCAAAGGGCCCCCACGACAACTCACCAGAACCCCGAGCCGCCGAATGATCGTTCGAAGACGGCAAAGATGGCATCCACGCGGCCCAAGATGCCTCCAACAGCGCTCCGGGACGGCCCTAACGCAGAATCCAAACGGCAATGTAAAGCCGCGGGCCCCCACAGAAACAGCATGAGGCCCCCGGAAGCTCTCTAACAATGCTGCCAGGACGCCCCCGCGAAAAGAACCAAGAGCCCCCCAAGAAAAAAAAACAAACGCTGAGCACCAACTATATTCGTGGCCACCGGCGACGCCCCACCTCGAACGTCCGCTGCTGGGTCGCCGCCGCAGCGCCTCGACCACCTAACTATACCGTGACCCGCGGGACCACGCATGTGCTCAGAACAGACCCCCACACACCCAACCCCCCTTAAAGGGGTCGGCGGATGTGGCGCAAGCCTAGACTATATATATATATATATATATATATACATATATCTATATAAATATATATACAAGACTGCAGTGGCGCTTCGCCCCATGCACCTTGGTCCTTGAAGTTTGGCATGCAGGCGGAATGGCAGGAAGGTCAAAGCGACAATTTAGCGATAACTCCTGGTTACCTTTTCCGGTATCGCCGCTATAATGATCCTTCCTCCATGCTTATTGTTCTTTATTTTCGCCATGCCCTGCGCAGTCTCCCCATCCTCCTCAGCTCTTTTTTGTGGAGGCTCCTCCTTGGAGAGCCTCTAGGGGCCTCGCAAAAATTGTTTCGGGTTTCCTTAAGGCCTTCTGGAAGCCTCCTAGGCGTATTCTGGGGGCCTCCGGGGGCTTCCTCGGGCCACCCTGCCTCCAGCCGCCGTCTCCCTGAACGACCGAATCACGGTTTGGAATGCTTCGGAGGGTGTCTTTGGGCCATCTTGGGCCGCCATGGGGCTCTCTGAGGGCCATCTTGGACCCGTGTTGTGCCATTTTGGCGCTCTCTTGGACTGCATGGAAGCCCTTTCGGATGGTTGCGGGGCGATTTGGGAGCCTCCCAGGCGGCTTCGGACGCCCAGAAGACCGCCGTCTTGGAGCGGCGGGAAGCCGAATAGAGGAGAACGGCAGACTTCACCATTTTTTTCTGTTTCCAGCCATTGGCTTCACCTGTTATTAATTCTGCGCTGTAACTCTGTCGGTCTCTCTTGACCGAACAGCTGGTACTTCACCTTTCTGAAGCCTGCGCAGGGCCCGTTTCCCGCGTGCTGTCGGTCGGCCCTGGCAGGGAAGAATGAGGTTCCTGGCCCCTTTCTGGGCATAGAACCCACATTTCAAACAAATCAAAGTCCCATACAGCTGGTGGACTCCGATAGCATGTGAAACATGCAGGTCGCGGCCATTGAAGACCTGCCTCCCTGCTGGTGAGAGCACCACGTCTCTCATCAAACTCTTCGCACAGGGAGTGTCAAGGAAACGATTCAACTCCCTCCTCGGCGCGGATCCTCCACACTCCCTGCATCTAACCCTGGAGCCTAAAATATGTGCACCATTGTGCTCTGTGATCTTGATACAGTGCGCTTCTCTCTCTCTCTCTCTCTTCTCTCTGACAAGGCCCTACTAGTCGGCTGATGTCTGGGCACTGTCTCTATAATATTCTCTAGGACCTTGGCCAAATGTTTCCTGACCGCAAAACCTACAGCTGTTGCCATTTCCACCCTGCATCTGTCAGCAAAAGAGACTCTGAACTCCTCCGCTAGCCTGCTTGCTGCGGTGTCCGCGACAGCGTTGACAAAGAGGGTGGCTGGATCAACTCCCTGCTCGATCGCCTCTTCTGCACTCAGGTGGCTCTCCACCTTCAATACGCGCATTCCCTTGCACGGGTGCCTAGCTAGTGTCTCTCCAAGACGTCGCCAGACATCCACATGCGTGTCAGGAGACCTGCCTAATCTTAGCTTCTCGACTCCTCGCATGACATACTCAGAGTCTGTAACATATATTGCGTGCGCCAGCGGGAGGACTGCTATTGCAAACTCTAGCAACGCCGTGGCTTTACCACGGTTGACTGTCTGAAAAAAGCCCGGCAGATTCCCTCCCTGCAAGTGTCCCAGCCCCAGCTCACCAACATCGTAACTCCCGTCCTCACGGAATCCGCCTAGGGTGGCAAAGGCCCAGGCTACTCGGCGCAGCTTGGGGTCCTGGTCTTTTCCCCCGGCGTCTCCTCCTCCAAAAATGACGCCTGGATCTCCGAAAACCTGGTGGCTCGACCTACCAAAAACATAGCTGATGTCTTCTTCTGTCGGCTCTGGGACGCTAGTCCACGTCGATGGCGCCAAACCTCGAGTCCACATGCTGGGCATACTATCCGACTCTAATCGTGCTTTGGCAATAATGCCGCTGGAAATCGTCTGAAATTCCTGATTGGCTGGGCACTCCCAGCAACGATGCTTGTCTGTTTCTGGGGCCTGTCCGCAGCGTGGGCACACGGGGTCAGGCTCCAGGCCGTACTCAAAAAGTCTCTGCCTACACCACGTCGCTCCTGTCATGACGCACTGCAAAAGGCCCTTCCACTTAAAATCACTACGCTTTAAAGCTATGCGGCATTGTCGACGGGGCCCCTTCAAGTCTGGCACAAGTTGCAGCCCTTCTCCCATCCAGGAGTTCTTGGCCGCCTTTGCCCGGAGCCTCCTACCGACACTGTCCGCTATGCACGCAAAAAGAATGTGCGACTTGTCGAGAGGGCCTCTCCCGATCATCTCTTCTGGGGCCTCGAAGGTCTCTCCAATGTCGCTGTGCCACCTCCAAGGCCCCTCAGGATTCCAACCTAGGTCGAGCATGGTGCAGATCGTGGCTGCCATGGGTGAACAGTGAACATACTCGCCTCCAGCGCTGCCTGGGGGCCTTGCTACTTAAATTGGCTAGCACTCTTGCCCAGCCTCTCCGCACACGCTCTACATTCACCCTTACATCGCCTAGGATGGAGAACCACATTTTGACTACATCAAAAACTACTGCTGTGTATGCTGGGTCCTGCGTACCGTATTCTAGCGCTAGGAGGGTCGTCAAGCAACGGCCGTGCTTTTTCCTGCTCGACAGGTCGGCCATCGCTCGCCTCCAGCGCTGCACTATGCTGGGGGCTGTCCCGTATACCTGATCCGAGTAACGCGACTGAGCGAAAGCCGAAACCGAAATCATTCTCTTGGACAGCTCCCTGTGCTTCCGTGCTCCTTTTGCAAACCTCGAGAGTTTGCGAATCTTAAAACTTGCCGCTACTCGTCTAGCTGCCTGCTTGGGTCTACGATTTGCTACCCTGCCACGGTCAAGTCCTAGATCTGGCGCATTCGACTTCACTTGGATACGGATGCTTGCTGCAGCAAGTCTCTGGGCCAGTTCACTAGCCACCTGGGGACATGATGAGATGACGCACGATTTGTCTGCCGTCGCCAGACTGACTGCCTGCAGACCTTTTACTAGCTGCTGACCTGCCTTGAAAAGTACATCTGCAAGCCTCTGCCTCGGTGCCTCGCAACGTTGAACGATGTCGTCCACCCAGGTGTGGAGGCTTGGCGTTGGAGGAGGGCATCTGGCCACTTCCTCGCAAATGAAATAGAGTGCACACCTGCCTAGGTCCACAGCTCCTGTCGGGCCTGGGACTAGAGACAAACTAGGTTGAATCGCTTCTGAAAAACATCCTTCTTCCCTCAAAAATCTGGGCGACATGTGCATCTGGAGTTCGAGCGCTAAATAAATTGCCGGGAAACCTAGAGCGAGCGCTTTGGAGAGCACAAGCTCCCACGACAAGGAATCGTAGAAGCCTTGTACGTCCCGCATGAGGCTCGCATGCACTAAATCTGGTAAGACCGACTGTTCCGCTAGCTCGTCTTGAAAAGCTCTCTACACAGCTACTCTGAGCGCTGATGACCCAGCGACAGCTGCGTCCCAATGTCCAGCACGCTCTTTGCACCACTCCGCCCTTTCAAAGTGTCTGAGTCTACCCCGCAAGCGTGGGATCCACGGCAGCAAGCCGATTGCCCTGTCGGCTTCACGCGTCTTGACCTGCAACATAACTAAGACCGTCATGAGCTGCCATGGCCAGCATGCTCTCGCCTCAATGGCGTTATATAGATCTGTTAATTGCTGAATTGCTGCTGGCGGGAGGAAGGCAAAATCTGTTTTGTTACACTGGTCAATCCCATTGGCTCGACTCGGCACTCCAGCGATAACTTTCCGGACGCGCTCTGGTTCGAGTGGCGGGAGTGGGTTCTGGATTGCCTGCCTCTGCGCTTCCCGCCAAAGAAGAATAGCCTCTGAGGCGCATTTGCGCCCAGCCCCCCACTTGGCGCACCGCGCCCCTTCTTTGAAACTTATTCGGCTCATGGCGTCTGGCGCTGAGGTGGCTCCCGACCGAACCCCCCTAACAAAAACCTTCTTTAGCTGGATCATATTGTACAGTCCCCTGCCTCCTGCAAGAGCCTGCTTCAGCACCCATTATTTAAAACTCTGCTGGTTCATATACTGCAGCGCTCTGTGTGCACGTGCTGCGTTATGTCTTGCCTTAAAACTGAAATCTGCTATTTCTCCATCTGAGGCCTTGTCCAAGTGCCCAAGCCCTTCCTTCCACATACCCCGGAGGCGAGTCGAGAGAGGCATGAGGGACGAGGTAGGAAGTTGGCTGGGTAGCTCTCGGACTCTGGCCAAAAGAGATTCAAACCGAGGACCTTTTTTCGGTGGGCAACAGACTATTTCTTCCAAGATGAACGCGACTGTAGCCCACCAATGGGCGACTGGATCTGATGCAGAGATGAACGTTGCTCCTTGCGCCTCTGGTTTGAAAACTAGTGCTCGCGCCCTGCCCCGCCCGCGGTAGTCGTTCCGCTTGTGCGGCGGCACGGCGTGCGTTAGAATGAAAAACTCCACCATGCGTGAAACCCATCTGGCGTACTCCTCACCTGCTGCGAGGGAAGCCTTTCGATCCAACTGGAAAGGTAACGACTGCTCGATGTACTCTGGAGGCTGAAGATTATTCGTGGCATGTGGACCTAGCTGCCTGCCGTGCCAGAGTTGATCTAACTGGGCTGCCGACAGTTGGTGGAGCAGGTGGTCGAACCCTGCCGCCTCTGGCTGCTCAGGGCTCTCCTGGGACTCGACAGCGCCCTCCTCTCCTCCACCTCCGTCCGAACCCCCGAACTCCTCCTCCTCCAGATCGTCTGGGCAAAGATTTTGCCTCGGGGGGGCCTTCTTGGGCCGTCCTGGAGGCCTCTTGGGCCATCTTGAGGTCACGTCGGTCACTCTCTTTTTTTTTCAGCGTGCTGCCGCAATCAACCCAGCACAACTAAGGAGATGGCGGCGTGGGCTGCACAACATCAAGAGAGGGATGGAAGGGAGGAGGAAGCAGAGGAGATGAGAAGGGAAGAGGAGGAAGAGGAGGAGAAGGCGGAACGATAATGGAGGAGAGCCACAGACGGCTCCGCCAATGAGTCCCAGGCCGACCCGCTCTCGCGCGGCGGGGTCAAAAATTTGGGGCGGGGAGACGGGCGGGATGTCAAGTCCCCGCAAACGGGGGCTCTGAACGAACAAAAGGACTGCAGCCATGGCTCGAGGCGTCCTCCATGATTCGCTTTCTCCAGGGAGGATGCCCCAAACTCCTGCTTTGCGATGTCCTGGTTTCTGGGGCCCTAGGCTTGGCGCCGGGTCGCAGCGCCGGTCGTTGGAGTGACCCTCTCACGGGGAAGGTCGCGCTAGTCGAGGGCCATGGCGGCGGGACAGGGGGGCACAGAAATACTAAACAGAAAAGGGCTGCTGGGAGGTACCCATGGTAAGATGATCCCAGGAGCTGGCGCGCTCAGAAACACCAACGTACGTGCGCGTGGTGTCTAGCCCGCTGGGGTCACTGGGTGGACTCTGCGCGGCACCCCAAGGCGGCGGAACGCATGATGACCACAACTGCTGAATGTAGCAACGTTCTCGCAGTGCCAGGTCATACCGCTGGGTCTTGCCAGCGCGGCCATGCTACTGAATCCGCATTGCAACTCTACTGCAGTATCATCACGTTCGGCCAACGTGTTAAAGTATTTGTCTGGAAGGGACGCCAGCTTAGTGGCGAGCCCTGCCCCGAAGCATCGAACGTGCGCAGGCCCTGACCACGCTGGCTGAAAACACTTTGATTTGCAAGCCCTCCCACATATCAAGAGCTACGCCCTAGACTTTCTGCGAACGCTCGGAAAACTTCGGCTCCGGAGATGATGGGACTCCTGCTGGAAAGACTCCTCAGCATCGTGACATTTATACCTGCATTCGAAAACACCTGCTCGCTGGAGAAACGCTGCTTGCACAGCTCATGCGATGTCCGTCTGCACTCGCCCAGCTTTACGGGGTCCTCCCTGAGCTCTTGTATGTGCAAGAACAACTGCTTCAAACCTGCAAGTCTTGACTGCATATCTGGCTTCCAAACACCTGGCGTCTGCACGAGGCCGTCCCAGATCGGCATCTCCGCTGGGTCAAGTCCCTCGGACACCACACACATCTTGTGTGAAAGAAACAGGGCCATGCGGAACGACTCCATTTGTCCTACAGATAGGTCGCCGCCCAACGCATGCAAATTTAGACCAATCGCACAATCTATGACCGCGTTTCTCATGGTCGAGAGTGTTGCGTTGGCTGGGTTGACCTCCAGCTCTTGCAATGAACCTGGGAAAAAACTCAGCCACTGCATCCATGATCGTGGAATCCAGGGTGCTTTTAGTTTGAAGAACGCATGTCGAATTCATCTTCTGTACTGGGCCGCCGTGCAGATCAATACCGTAATCTAAGGAATGAGTATAATGAGGTGGAACCTACCGTACACCTGCAGGAGTGGTGTTGTGATACTACAGAAGATTCTTCTGCGAATACTCCCAAATCTCAGCTGCGCCAAGGTAGCTGACAAGTTGGGTAATGCTCTGAGGTTGGCCAGGATAGCCTGGTTCCGTATTAAAGACAACCAGTCGCGCGCCACGTTTGCGACACTCTTGCAGTTGAAGCCACGAAGCGTCCTCGCCATCGTGAGGGAAAATCACAATCCAATGCGATTCCGATAGTGCTGATGTGGATGCGAGGTGCGCCTTGATGAGCTCGAAATCCGAACGACCGACAATGCTCACGTTCGCTCCCATGGCGGTGAAACCATCTTTGAAGCTTACCAGAGCAGGATGATACAAAATAAAACCCTTGTCGAAATCTGGACGTGGAAGCAAGAACCAAATCTGTATTCGGATATCTCCGTCAATGGAGGCATTGCTTGAACTATTCAAAGTATCAAGCCCTGCAAGCGACATGTGGTTTGCGTCTCCAGACCCGACGGATGCTGCACCCCGGGTGCAAACCAAGCCTGTGGCGACAGCGCAACACAGCAGTGCCAGAATCGCTAGAGTAGCAGACGCCCTCGCGAACCGCCCACGGATTCCTCCGATAACGCCGCCTGCCTGGCGCATGGCCCATTCTTGACCAACCGGTATTGCCCACTGCAGCAAGCATGGCTCACACTCAACGTGCGCCGGTCCAAGTGGTAAGGGCTGGGCATGGTGCGTAAGCATGGTGCTTGCGCATGGCACTTGAGCGCTGTAATTCACATCCTCGTCCATGAGAACCGAGCGTGGGCTTCGCGCGTGGTCCATACTCACAGCTTGCCTCGTGCCAGTGGCAGTGCCCCCCAAACCGGAATTGCTCGTGCACTCAAGGCCTCTCTCTAGCCCCAACGACCCTGGCTGAAAATCACTATTGGCTTGAACGGTGTTGGCTTGAGCCAAAATGGCTACGGAGAGGTCACGTCGGTCACTCTTGGAGCGCTCTTGTGCTGTCTTGGGGGTTTCTGGGACGTCTCCGATGACCCCCCTGATCACCCTAAGTGTGCTGGGAACGCTTGGCAAAACGCCCTGCGAGGCCCGGTGGCCGCTTTGGGGCCCGTCCGGAGGGCCCCAAAGCCCCAGGTCCCGGTTTTTTTTGGGGGGTCCCCCCGCCCGGGCTTATAAAAATATAGGAAGAGAAATATATATATATATATATATATATATACAAGACTGCAGTGGCGCTTCGCGCCATGCACCATGGTCCTTGAAGTTTGGTATGCCTGCGAAATAGCAGGAAGGTCAAGCCGACAATTTAGCGATAACTCTTGGTTGCCTTTTCCGGCATCGCCGCTATAATGATGTTATTCTTTATCCTTCCTCCATGCCTCTGATGCCTTATTTTCGCTATACCCTGCGCACACTCCCCATCCTCCTCAGCTCTTTTTTGCGGAGGCTCCTCCTTGGAGAGGCTCTGGGGGCCTCACAAAAATTGTTTCAGGCTTTCTTAAGGCCTTCTGGAGGCCTCCTCGGCTTATTCTGGGGGCCTCCGGGGGCTTCCTCGGGCCACCCTGCCTCCAACCGCGGTCTCCCTGAACGACCGGGTCACAATTCGGAATGCTTCGGAAGGTGTCTTTGGGCCATCTTGGGCCGCCATGGGGCTCTCTGAGGGCCATCTTGGACCCGTGTTGTGCCGTTTTGGGGCTCTCTTGGACTGCCTGGAAGCCCTTTCGGTGGGGCGATTTGGGAGCCCCCCAAGCGGCTTCGAACGCTCAGAAGACCGCCGTCTTGGAGCGGCGGGAAGCCGAATAGAGGAGAACCGCAGACTTAACCAAAAACCAACATAAAATCAATGATGTTTGCCTCGGGGGGCCTTCTTGGGAGTGCTCTTGGAGGCCTCTTTGGGGCCGTCCTGGAGGCCACTTTGGGGCCGTCCTGGAGGCCTCTTGGGCCATCTTGAGGTCACGTCGGTCACTCTTGGAGCGCTCTTGTGCTGTCTTGGGGGTTTCTGGGACGTCTCCGATGACCCCCCTGATCGCCCAAGGTGTGCTGGGAAGGCTTGGCAAAACGCCCTGCGAGGCCCGGTGGCCGCCTCGAGGCCCGTCTGGAGGTTCCCAACGCCCCAGATCCCCGGAGTTCGGTTTTTTTTTGGGGGGGGACGGGCTTTCCCCCCGCCCACGCTTGTAAACATATAGGAAGAGGAATCTACGTGTTAGCCCGACGACCGCACGACCAGGCATGGCCGCGAGGATTGCTTGGTTGCTTGATGTGGATTCGGAAGCGCAAAAACACAAATCCTGGCACGTGGGGCGGGGCCCAGGCGCCTCGGCGGCGTGTGCCGGTCGGCGCCGGCTCCTGCTGCAAGGGGGGGAGAGGGGGGGGAGGAGGCGGAATTGGAGGAGGAGGAGGAGGAGGAGGAGGAATTGGAGGAGGAGGAAGGAGAGGAGGAGGGGGAGGAGGGGAGGAGGGGGAGGAGGGGGAGGAGGACGAGGAGGAGGAGGAGGAGGAGGAGGAGGAGGAGGAGGAGGAGGAGGCCAGAGCGCGGCGCGCCAGTGCAAGGGGGCGCCCAGGGGCGGGCCGGGCGAGGGGCCCGAGGTGCTGAGAAGGCCCGCGAGGTCCCGGCGGTGCAGTTTTTGCGCAGGGAGCGCTCCTCCACGAGACCATTACAGTCAAAAGCCCTAGTACGTCAGGTTCGTGTCGTGACGACCCTGGCGTTGGTTTCTGACACCGCGGGGATCGTTCAACCTTGAAAGATCGGCCGTTTCCGAAACGTCCAAACCGTTCCACGTCGATCGATTTTGGGTCGCCCGCGGCGTTCAACGTTGAACGCCGCTGGCGAGGTCGCCGCCGGTCGACACGACACGAACCTACCGTAAGGACGCGCGGCAAGGACGCAAGACCCTTGGAAGCCGAAGTTGGGTTTTTTGGGGCGGCGGACGACGAAAACCTCGAGGACGCAAGAGCAAGGAAGAGCAAGGACGCAAGGGTACCCTGAGCAAAGTCGCGCGTCCTTATTAGGGTTTTTGACTGTACGTGTGGCACCGGCTGCAGCGGGAGCACCAGGTGCCGCTGATGCATTAGATTGCGGCAGCGCGACGAAATCCGAGAATGTGGCAAGCCCTGCAGCGGGAACGCCATTTTCACTGATGCGGCGAGGGCGTCGTCCCGTTGGGCAGAGGCTACCTGAATATCACAGCATGCGGCAGACGCAGGACAAACACTAGTCTAGCGAAAGGCCCAACTACATGCAATTGCGAGCACCGCAAAGCAAGTGAAACGAAGGAGGGGGAACCCCTTGTGGCGCCACGAAACGTGCGAGTGTATGCCGACATGGGCGAGGGGGCGTCTGTGGACGCCGCCGCCGAGGCCCCCCAGAGGAGCTCCCAGTGGGGCCACGATGCTGTAGTGGGTGGCGAGGACGCATGTGACCACAAGCTCTGGGGCTTTCGGTCGGGCGCCCACATAGGGAAACGAAGCGACGCACTGGGTGGCGCGGACGCATGTGATCACAACCGCTGGGGCCTTCGGTGCATCCCCCATATGGGGCCACGAACCGCTGAACTGGGTGGCGCGGACGCATGTGATCACAACCGCAGGGGCCTTCGGTTGGGATCCCTATGGGGCCACGAATGCCTGAGCTGGGTGGCGCGGGCGCATGTGATCACAGCCACTGGGGCCTTCGGTGGAGCTCTATGGGGCCACGACGCGCTGTACTGGATGGCGCGGACGGGTGTGATCAGAGCCACTGGGTCCGTCGGTGGAGCCCCTATGGGGCCACGAAGCGCTGTATTGGGTGGCGCGGGCGCATGTGATCACAGCCGCTGGGGCCTTCGGTTGGGCTCCCTATGGCGCCACGATGCGATGTACTGGTTGACGTGGGCGCATGTGGCCACAACCGCTGGGGCCTTCGGTGTAGCCCCAATGGGGCCACGAAATGCTGACTGAACTGGGTGGCTCGGGCGCGTGTGATCACAGCCGCTGGGTCCGTCGGTGGAGCCCCTGATGGGGCCACGAAACGCTGTACCGGGTGGCGCGGGCGCGTGTGATCACAGCTGCTGGGTCCTTCGGTGGAGCTCTCGGGCCACGACGCGCTGTACTGGTTGGCGCGGACGCATGTGATCACAACCCCTGGGGCCTTCGATGGAGCTTCCTATGGTGCCACGAAGCGCTGCGGTGGATGGCGCGGGCGCATGTGATATCAGTCAATGGGGCATTCGGTGGAGCTCCCTCCAGGGCGACGAAACGTGTGCTGTATGCGCTGAAGCGGTGGACATGCGAAGGGCAGAACCAAGGGTGGGAGGAGGGGGGAGGAGAAGGAGGATAAGGAGGAACGCGGGGTAGTTGGAACAAATCCTCCAGCATTCTGGGCGTAGGTGGTCTACAGAGTATTCTCTTCCAACCCCCTCCTTCCCCTTCTGGAAGGGGTTTATCACTGTGCCCTACTAGTATACACCCTCTCCCCCCGGTGACCAGCAGCCGACCAGGAACCATGGGGACACCATGCGGGCACCTCCCCATCATCCCTGGCAAAAACACTACAAAACGCACTCTGCCTCCACTTTGGGAGCATGCGTGGCCGACCCGAGGCGCCCCGCCCCAACATCCCCGTCAAAAAACAAAGCAAAATGCATGTTGGGCCAAAGTCTTGAATCATGTTCGTGAGGCCCGCGAGCACGTTGTATTGTTTTTGTCAGGGACGGCGGGGGTGTCAGCACATTCCTTGCTGCGCGCAGGTCTTCCATCCATGACACAAAAAATACACAATGCACCTCACGGATAAACCTGGATCATGCGCGGTCAGCCCGCGATCACTGCCAAGTGGTTTTTGACAGGGACGGCGGGGGTGGTGGCGCGTGGTCTACTGTGCGCAGGCCCACCAGACACAATGATCGGCATCGGTGTTCGACATGGATAGTGGGGGCCGACATGTCTCCCAATGTGTGCTGTCACGTGCGCAGGCGCACCTGACACACTCTGCACGTGCCCCGAACGTTGCGTACCTGGCGCGGCTGGAGTGTGCGGCACACCTGGCGCACTCGGAGCACGTGGCGCATCTGGCGCACCAGGCGTGCCTGGCATGCTCGGGCCCCAGGGGTGCCTGGCGCGCGTGGCGCGCCTGGCACGCGTGGTGTACCTCTCCCAAGCGTCGCGCACATGGGGTCGGCTTTAGTGCCCAGTAGCTGCCCATCCATAGACGACCGCTGAGCATGCTCAAGCTCGGGTGTGACTTATGTGTTGGGAGGGCGGGCTAGACGGCTTGCGAGCGGGTGGGTAGCTTGAGCCTTCCCCCTACCCCCTCCCCTGGACCTTGAGGGGGGGGGCGGTCGCGGGTCGTTGGAGCGTCCAAGAGGCCCAAGGTGGCTCTAGGAGGGCCTCAGAGAGCCCACGATGACTTCCAAGATGGCCCAAGACAGCCTAAGATGGCTCCAGATGGCTCCCAAGATGTCTCCGGAAGCCCCAAGACCGCTCCTAGACGGCTCCAAGTGGCCACGGAACCTTCCCAGGCCGCCAAGAGGCCATAATCCTTCAACAACCAAAGGGCACTCAATGAATTTGGCCTTCTCTTCTTTGTGCTTTCGATGGCCTTCCGAAGCCTCAAGATGGTTCCAAGAGGGCACCGGAAGGCCCCACGAGAAGCCCAAGAGACCCCCAAGACGGCCCCAAGAGCGCTCCAAGAGCGCCCAAGACGCGATGTTGGGGGTTCCCGAGGGGGGTGGCCGTAATTGGAGCTCCCATCTTTTTTGACCGATCTCCTCCAAATTGGCCACAAGAGCGCTCCCAAGGCTCTCAAGAGCGCCTCAAGAGTGCTCCAAGAGGGGCCCAGGAGGCCCCAAGAGGCGCCCAAGAGGCCTTCAAGATGCTCCCAAGAGACCCCCAAGAGGCTCCCCGAGGCAACCAAGACGCTCCAAGAGGCCCCAGGAACCGCCAAGAGGCCCCCGAGACGCTCCAAGAGGCCTCGACTGGGGGACCCTTCCTCTGTGTGCTGCCCACTTCCCTGATCGAGGCGACTCCTCTGGGCATCGTTTCTGGATGGGCTGGTGGGGTTGCGCGAGGCGTCTAAAATTTGAAAGCCAACTCGGACCAGTCGTACGCTTATCAAAAGCGTACGAGATACGATCGAAAGAACGAGAGAACGAAGCTGCCGTCGCCGGAAAGAGGAGGCACCCCTGCGAGGGAGGCAAGCGCACCTGTAGCACGCTGGCCCTCTTAGAGGACGGGGGAAATGTCATAACACACCTTAGCGAACACTTTGAAAGGGAAGGGCAAGACAGGGAGGATAGCAGCACTCAGATGGTGCAACTGTAGAGAAGGAGAGGGAGGGGGCTAAGGCGGAGGAGGATGGGAAGGATGGGAAGAAGGGGGGTGCTGAGGAGGAGGGGAGCATGACGACGGAGACGCCGAGCATGAGCAGCAGCGGGAGCTCGGAGGTGCTGAAAGCATCTTGGAACCCACGCTCCAGGCACCATGTCTAGAAAATGAGGCCGCCGCGTCAGGGCATGAGCTTGGCTGGGGCACAAGGCCGAACCAATTTTCGTTCTCCCCCTCCTGCTGTCCCTCCTCCTTTCCCCCGCTCACCCTCCCCCCTCGCCCTCGGCCCCCAGCCGCTCCTCCTGCTCCTCCTGCCATCCTCCTTCCCGCTCGTGCGCCGCACATCTGTCCCATCCCTCCCCGTCCCCCCGTCCTCCCTCCCCCATCCTCTCCCCCTCGCCCTCCCCTCTCCTCCCCACTCTTCAAACGAGGCAACCCAGCAGAGACACGAAATCACGACTGCGCCTTCCCCACCGGACCAATCTGGGTATAACGTATTTCCAACGGAGACCATTCCGGGAGGTTGATCAGCTTGGGGAGCAGGGGGGAGTGAAGCGAACACGTCCCATGGTCAGAAGCCTAGGTCTGCAGACCCGTCTGTGATCACCGTGCGCCCCTGCCTGGATGCGTTTTCCCGCGGCGGCCCCCGGCCAAGAACCCATGCGGAACTCTCCAGGAGCCCCCCGACACCCTCGGAACACGCAGAATGAATGGAGCAGAACCGTCGGAGGCATTTGGAAACCTCCTCCTGCTCCTGCTCCTGCTCCTCCTCCTCCTCCTCCTCCTCCTCCTCTTCCCCCTCCCCCTCCCCCTCCCCCTCTTCCTCCTCAGTATCCTCCCGCCCCCCTCTTCCTTTCTCACTCTACCTCCCGCCCCCCCGGCCAAAACGTACCCCCAGGGCGATGTACCCCCAGTGAAGCGTCGCAGGAGCCACGGTTCCAGCTCGAATGTGTGCCAAAACTTGCCTCCGTGCGACCCGTGGTGGATCTGAGGGCCACCTTGCCAGAGTACGCCTCCCCCCTCCTCTCTCGTCCTCCCCCCCAAAACCTACTCCTGGCTCATGCGTTACTATAGCTCCGAGGTGCCGCTGTCCCGCTCCCGACGCTGTCGTCCCTCCAGCGTCCCAAAGAGAAGGGTGGTACTTTTGAAGGAATCGCGTCGACTCTGAAACCGACGCGATTCCTTCAAAAGTACCTCCACGGGCCTCCGCCGCTCTCGGCGACCGCGTGCGTTTTGTTAGCACCGCGGGCACCTTTTTTCCAGAGCAGGTGCTGGGTTGTCCTTCCCACAGCCATGCATAGAGAGCAGGACATCCACCCTCGGAATAATCACCCCGACAAGCGAAGCTGTTTGGCAAACGCACCCAAAGATGGAATCGAATAGGGCAGGGCTGCTTAGTAGACGCCCAAGGCCGTCTAGCAAGCGCTAGTTGTCGGGTCCGGGTGTTTTCTTCCTCCCTTGAATCCGACAGCCCAGGCGACCTGGCTCGTCCCGGGTCCCCTGCCCAGGCATCGCCCCCGTGGATGCTGCCGTGCTCGGTGCCAGGCTTCGCGGTTTCGCTTACACCATCGGCTCCGTGCCGCCGGCAAGGTGCCACGTCGACAGAGCACCGCGCCCGCCCGGAGGGGGTCCGAATAGATGGGGCCGGATGAGTGCGCTGCGTCGCCGTTGCATCGGCGACGTCGGTCGTGCATCGGCGACGTCGGCATGGAGACCAACGGGCTGCACATCGAGCCGCATCACCGAGCCGCATCATCGGGCCGCATCGCCGATACATCGGCAATGTGGCGCGATCGTACGACCGCATCTACTCGGACCCCATCCAAAGAGGGCCCAGAGGCACTACCTACGAAGCTGCCCCAACCCAGCCCGAAGTCACCGATGGGCCTGCCGAGTTCCAGTGGGGGGGCGTTCTGCAACATAGAGAAAACAGTGGAACACGTAGACCCCCCAACCCGAAAACTGGGGGGTGGGGTCTGGGACCTCTGGGTCGGGCTGGGAGGGTTTGGTAAGCAGTGAACCCCACGCACACACACACACAGTCGCTCCAGCAACCCCCCTCCCTGCTAGCTCCTCATCTCGCGGCCAGGGCCATCTTAATCTCAGGTCAATCGGGCGGATACTACTACAAAAAATCAGCGAGGCGGGATGTGTTATTTTTTATGTTTTTTTTTGTGTTTTTGGGTCATCCGGATGGCTTTTGGAAGATAGCTCGAGCTACAGGCCGCTCTCAGAGGCAAAAGGCACACCACTCGACGGGAAATCGTGTGGTGCACCCGAGCCGGCCCCCGACCCCGCTTGCCGTCGCTCGGACGTCCACTTCCCGTGCATTTGTCGATTTCGTGAGTGTTTTTTTTGCTCGATGGTCCAGGATGGTCCTCGATGGTTCTCGCCGAGAAAAAAAATGCACACGTCCGAGCGATGCCAAGCCCGTCGCGCCACGGGGGGCCCCCCAGGCCCTGGGGCCAGACCACTGTCCGACCACGCCTCGGCAGCCAGCCCGCCAGACCTCTCGGCGCCCCCTGGGGGCACGCAGGCGGCCCGCCTCCGGGGCTGCGCGGCGCGGCCCCCTCGCCCTGGAGTGGGGCCCACCCAGGGACACAGGATTGCAAAAAACGAAGGATTGCAACAAAAACCGAAGGATTGCAAACGAAAAACCGAAGGGTTTTTTTGCAATCCTTCGTTCCTGTTTTTTTTTGCAATCCTTCGTTTTTTTGCAGTCCTTCGTACACAGGAAGAAGCAGACACAGGCCCCAGGATTCCCCGCACGCTCCATGCTTCCTGGGAGCTCGGCCTGCCCGCCACTTCCCGCACGTTCCGAGATGCTCTCGGGAAGCGACGTGCACGTATGAGGAGGAGGAGGAGGGAGGAGGAGGAGGAGGAGGAGGAGGAGGAGGAGGAGGAGGAGAGCAGGAGGAGGAGGAGGAGAGGAGGAGGAGGACTGTGTTCCTGTGACCATCCTGAACCCGTCCTCGGCGCGCGCAGGGGGGGGGGGGGGGGGGCAGGGGCGAAGGCCTCCTCGGGGGAGGCTGCCTCCGAGAGAGTGCTGGCCTCGCATCGGTAGACAAGGCCCGCGGCAGCTGAGAAGCAGAGGTGCTTCTAAAGAGCCTTCCTCCTCCTCCTCCTCCTCCTCCTCCTCCTCTTCCTCCTCATCCTCCTCCTCCTATTCCTCCTCCTCCTCCTCCGCCGCCGCCGCTGCGTCTAAGAGGCAGATGTGGTCTTAAGAAGTCTTCCCCCCTCCCCCATACCCCCTTCTGCGCGTGGCCGACGACGGCAGATCTTCTCCTCAGCGATCTTGTCGGGCGGTTGGTCATGAGGGGTGACCCATATGAGGGGTGAAGAGACGGGCCCCGTCTCTTCGTCCCCCTTCACGCCACCCCTCATTACATACTCCCCTCTGTGCGTGGCCGATACCTTAGCATGGGGAAAACGGCCCCTAAGGGAAGCGGGTCCTGGACCCCGGGGCCTTCCCCCAAGAAAGAATTCTTCATCCCGAGTCGTCTGCTGGCAGCCCCGGGGCCCGTGGCAAGCCCCGAGGCCCGGAAGCCGGCGGACGAAAACTCCGGACCCGCTCCACTCGGGACCGCCTCCCCCCTGGCGTACGCCCTCCCCTCCTCCTCCTCCCCCCCCTCGCTCCCCTCGCCCAGGCACCCGCGCCGCTCCCTCGGCTGGGGCGCCGGGTTCGCCCTCCACGGCCGCCGCCGGGGCGCGGCCGAGCTCGCTCTCCAGCGCCGCCTGCGGGGCACGGCGCGGTCGCCCGCCGGCTTCGGGGGCTGCGAAGGAAGCGCTCTCAGAGCCTGCCTGGGGCCTCTCTCTGGGGGCGTTCCTGGGAGTCTTCGGAGCCTTCGCTGAGCCCTTTCGGTCTCCGTTTGGAGCAATAGCATCGGGGAGACGTAAGTCTCGGGTACGGGGGACTCGGGTTGGCCTGACGGGGGCCATCACAAAAATGACGAGACCCCATCGGAAATTTGACGCGGGCTCCCGCTGCAGACATCCCACGAAAACGGGACGGTGAAAATCCAGGACGCGCTCGCCCCCAAAAAAGTCGGCAAGCCTGAGTTTCGGCTTACTCGAGTCCCACGTTTCCCCGGCATTAGGCGATGCCATAGCCATCGTGAGGCCTGAGGAGTCCACAGGAAGCTGGGCCGCTCACGGGCCCTGTTGGAAGCCCATGGGCTGAGGGGGCCCTCAGGTCGGGGGTTGTCAAAGTTGCCCCTGGCCCAGGGTGCCCCCAGCTTTTCGCTCAACTTTGGAGCCCCTGGGGCCCTCTGCGCCTCGTGAGGGGTGCTCTGGAGGCAACGGGGGGCTCCTTCGCAAGCCTGGGGGCACCTGGGCCAGGGGCACTTCTAGCAACATCCAGCGCTCGGTCGCCGCCGTCGCCGCCGCCGCTGCCGTCCACCGAAGATGAAGAGCAGGGCTCGATCTGAACAGTGCTTTTCGTTTTCGCGTTGTTTACGTGCTGCCACGGCTGGAACTGCCTCAGGGGCGTGGTCGAAACGCATCTCCCAGAGACCCACCGACGGGGGGAGGCGCGGCCGACGACAAGCAGGAGGACCACGACCGTACCGACACCGGCACCGACGCTGGCCAGGGCAACACCTGGCCCGCTCGGTGTGTACACCCCCCTGGCCCAGCCAGAGCCGCGCATGCACCCATCCTTGGCTCAGATGGGGTCGTCGGCGCGGAGGACATCAGGCTCTATTATCGAGCCGCATCGGCGATCATCGGTGATGCGGCGCGATACTCCGACCCCATCCAAACGCGATAGGTCTTTAGTACCCCCCCTAAAATAGTGTAAACTGAATATCTGTTCGGCGACCTCATTGAGGGACGGGGATCCCACCAATATTGGGAAATTGTCATTTCTCCGCGGCACCCGCCGCACAGCAACGACGACAACGACTACAACTACGCCTACGATTACGACTAAGATTACGAGTACAACCACAACTAAAATTGAAACTGCGGTAGAGGGAAAATCGTCTTCGCCGCGCCGATGAGGACCACGACGACGGCGACGATGACGACGACTACGATAACGACCACGAGGAGGAACAGGAGGAGGACGAGGATGAGCAGGAGGAGAAGCAGGAGGGGGGGATTAGGAAGAGGCGGAGGAGGAGGACAAGGAGGATGGGGTTGTTTTTATTCTCCGCCGAGAAACAGAGAAGGGGGACTTCACAACGAAAGATGACGCCATCTACTCGGACCCCACATCTGGCAGGAGGGCAACCCTGATGAGGCGGCGCAGCACCCCTACCATGAATTCTGACTGCAACACTTGCCGTCGCTCGGACGTCCATCTCCCGTGCATTTTTCGGCGTCGTGCGTGTGTCTCGCCCGATGGTCCAAGGTCTTCCTCGAGGGTCATCGCCGAGAAACAGATGCACACGCCCGAGCGATGCCAAGAGCAGGGCAGCCGCCGTGGCACTGCCCACCCCGCCTTCGCCCGCAGGATCATCAGCTCGTCGCTCGGCAGCATGCGCCTGGGCGCGCCGCCGCGCCGTGGGGCGAGGAGGACGAAGAGGAGGAGGAGGAGGAGGAGAAGGAGGAGGAGGAGGAGGAGGACGAGGAGGAGGAGGAGGAGGAGGAAGAGGACGAGGAGGAGGAGAGCGGCGCGGCGGCGGGAGCCCCGTCGCGGCGGGCCCGTGGGGCCTGCGGCGGTCGCGCGCCCTCCCCCCCCCCAACGGGAAGAAACATCGAGGCCTCCCAGACGTTCTCCGAGAGAAGCCCGCTTTTGGGCCTCCCAGGGTCTGCATTCGTGGTGCTTGGCCATTGGCTCCACCGAGAGGGGGGCCTCCCATACGGAGGGCGATCGGATGGGGTCGCATGATCGCGCCGCGGCGCCGATGTATCGCCGATGCGTCGGCGATACATCGGCGAAGCATCGGTGATGCATCGGAGACGCCAGCGAGGAGAACATCGGGCTCCACACCGAGTCGCATCGCCGATGCATCGGCGATGCGGCGCGATCCTCCGACCCCATCTGCTCGGACCCCACATGGGCAGCCTAGGAATAAACGTCTGGGTGCGCTTGAGCAGGTTTGGCCTCCGAGGGGGCCACTTGCGGGCCCCAGGGCCATCATACTCTGGCCTGGGTGGCAAGACTGCCAACCTCCAAGAGGAAACCCTTGAAGCCCTTTAGGCGGCGACATCCGAGCCCTACCCCCGCCAGCCATCGCCCCCGCCCCCGAGCGAAGCAATGGGAGGCGGGGGCAGGGTTCGGATTCCAACACGTGTTCGACGATCTCCGAACCATGCCCCCCACCGTCCATCGATCGGCGGCGAGCGAGGGCGGAAGTGAGGCCGAGAAGGCTTTCTCAGAAGGCGGCGGGGCTTCTCAGAAGCGCTCCAGCCTTCTAGCATTTTCCTTTTCTGTCGTTGGGGAAGGCTTAGCAAACCTCTTAAAGGCCGGGGGACTCCCGAGCCTTCTAAGAAGGCCCGTCCCGTGTGGTAGGAAACACATCAAAAAATAAACAGAACAACTCGGAGGTCCGCGCGGACTTCTCGGATCGGCGTTGGACCCCCCCTCTTTGGCGCGAGGAGCGCGCCAGGGGCGGTGCCGGAGGCGCCGCCAGGGGCCTCCAGCGCCGATGCGAGAAATCCGCGCGGACCTCCGAGTTTTCGTTTGTTTCTTCTTTCTATCTTTATATACACACATACGGCAGGTCCGTGCCGTGTCGACCTGGGCGTTGGTCCCTGACGCCGCGAGGATCGTTCAACCTTGAGCGATCGGCCATTTCCGTAACGTCCGATCGTTCAACATCGACCGATTCTGGGCCTCCGCCGGCATTCAAGGTTGAACGCCGGCGTCGGGGTCGCCGCCGGTCGACACGACGCGAACCTACCGTACATACATAATGACACGGCGCGCCAGGGGCGGCGCCGGAGGCGCCGCCGGGGGTCTCCAGCGCCGATCCGAGAAATCCGCGCGGACCTCCGAGTTGTTTTGTTTCTTCTTTATATCTTTATAGATACGCATATCTATCTTTGTATACACACAGACATACATAATGTCTATGTACCTCTTTGTTTCCCTATTCCGAGAAGGCCCGCCCCCCCTCGGGCTCGCCGCCCCTCGAGCTGCTGGGCTCGCTGATCGGCCGGCGCAGGGCTCGGATGGCGCCGCCGACCCTCTGCGGGCCTCCCGAGGCCCTCGCCCACACACACCCCGGCTGGCACGCGGCTGCTGAGCGGCCGCACCCCGCCCCCCCCCCCCCCCTGGGATCGGGGCCTCTCGCCACTGATTGGGCGCCCGAGTTATCCGGGGTAACTCGGGTCCGGGGTAACTCGGGTTTGGATTCCCGAAACAGGAACCCGAGTTACCCCTGACCCGAGTTACCCCTGATGATTCGGGGCTCTGGACGCCCGAGTTATCCGGGGTAACTCGGGTCCGGGGTAACTCGGGTTTGGATTCCCGAAAAACGAACCCGAGTTATCCCTGACCCGAGTTATTCGTGATGACTCGGGGCTCTGAACTGAGGCTCTCTGCCCAAGGTGGGGCACACCGGGCCATGCCAGTACCGCATAGGCCTCTGTCGGAGGCGCACGTCCGGCCCGAACCTGTACAGTCAAAAAACCCAACAAGGGCGTGCGGCAAGGACGCAAGACCCTTGGGAAGCCGAAGCTGGGACTTTTGGGGCGGCGGACGACGAGCACCTCAAGGACGCACGAGCAAAGAAGAGCAAGGACGCAAGGGTACCCTGAGCAAAGTCGCGCGTCCTTATCAGGGTTTGTGTCTGTAGCAGGGCATCCTGCAGCACATCGCTTCCCGAGCGCTTCGGCCACGTGCGCCCGCAACGGAGCGCGTGCTCGCAGGCTTCGCGGCGCGCGCGCCGCCCCTTCGGGGGCGACGCACACGTAATCATAGCATGGTCGTGCTGGCGCCGAGAAGGGCGGTGGCAACTCATGGGAGCCTCCCGTGCCATTGTGTCGGCTCTTGCGCATCGACGCTAGTCGACGCTAATCGACGCTGCATGGACGCGAATCGACGCCAGCCGACACGAAATAGGTGCTATCTCATCGACTCCCAAACGCTAATCGGCGCGAGTCGCCGCCAAAGACGGAATCAAGAGGGTGCACCAGGCTCCCATGATCTGCTACAGAAGAAAAGGGGATCTTGCTTGCCCTGTGCAAAGTTATCGGCGGCGACGATAGGGGCGAATCGCCCAGGGGTGGGCATTACACGTGTTCGCTCGGTAGCCTTGTCGAAGACATATACTATCGGCGCCCCTGGATACATGTATTGCTCTCCCCTGGGCTATTCGCCCCTATCGTCGCCTCTGAGCGGGGCCCTTCGTCATAGGCGGCACCCGGCGTAACTCGGGGCTCCTTCGTCCGGGGCGGACCACGGCGCTGCTCGGGGCTCTCGTCGGCGCAATGCCGAGCAATGCCGGGACAGCGCGGAGCAGCGCAAGACGAGGCCAAGCAGCGCCAAGCAATGCGTCGCACTGCACTGCTTCGCGTTGATCGAAATGGCTTTGGATTGGAATGAATGAAGGGGCCCTGGGACACACAAAAAAATAGACACAAATAGCAGGATTCCCTATATGTTCCATTATTATCTGTTTTTTTTCCATCTCCCCCCCCACTTTCCATATCTTCCAATATTTTCTGGTAAGTCGACGATTAATTGTGTCTGCGTTTTCCCTGCTGCATGAAGAAGACGCCTACTGGAGGTCGTGCCAAGGTCATTGCATGTCCTGGCCCTGTTGGTTGGCACTTTTCAAGACCTCAGGCGTATCGATCCTTTGGGCGTGGTCGTTGTTCGGCTTCCTGGAGCCGCTCTCGGACCCCTGCACAATCAAACAATCTCTCCTCGTCCACATGATTGAGTCTCCCTCCTCCTCCACCTCATCATCATCATCATCATCATCATCATCATCACCATCCTCCTCCTCCTCCTCCTCCCTCAACTTCCCTCCTTCACTGCCCCTTCATTCCTCCTCTTCCTCCTCCTCCACTTCCTCCCCCTCAGGTGAAGGGAGGCGGAACGTGGAGGAAGGAATAAGAAAGAGAGGGATCCGTCCCCAAAGCGTCTTGAAGGTGAATATGTATCCACGTCAACTTTCTGAAGCGCGAAAGATCGCAAGAAACCAACTAACACAAACGAACTCGCACAGAAATGCTCGGGGACGAACGGCACGGGGTATGTACGCCAGGCAAGCTGCACATCTGGCATCCTGCTGCTATCTGGGAACTAAGAATGTCGCGCCAGAGCCCACTGCCGCGATAAGGATGCTGAGGAAGAACACACGGACGGCGAAGACGCATGTTCAGCGTCAAATGCGGGTGTGTGGATGGTCATCCTATGACCTCGGCCAGGACATCCCCATATGGTTCAACCAGCACCATCGTGCCGGACTGCAAGTACAACAATACTGCATTTGGAACGTTATGTAAACACCTATTGCCTGGATCACGTGGCGTTTGGGACATTAGCTGTGCTCGCACATGCCATTATCTGGGTTAAGCCCCATCTCGTCGCAATACACTTGGTGGTGGCGCCACATCTGATCACAATGCCTGCTCGGATCATGGTCATGCAACGCCTCATCCTTTCTTGCCATCACGGCTCCCGTATGCCCGTAACCTTCCCATCTGTCCATTCAAGATTGAGGCGTACACCCTTTGGAAATCCTCTTGCCGACTTCACTGCCATACCCAATGCAATTGGACCTGTAATTGCCAACGGGTTGGATCCATAATCCGCCTCGCCCCCCTCCGTGGGCGCCGGACTGTGAAGGGCATTGCTGAAACGATGTCTTGCGGATATGTGTTGTCCTGCCCCTGTTGTCCTGGCCCTTTTGTCCAATCCTGCCTCCCTTCCGCTGCCTACGGGTGGGGCAGCGGCACGAAAATAGGCAACCCTGGGGCGATACCATCGGCCCCCCTGGCCGCCCGTACTTGCAGCAGTATTCTCATCTGTGCGCCACTGGACGGCTCAGATGGCTCAGAGAATGAGGGCCCCAAGAGGTGCCGACGACGGCCCTGAGAGCTCAAGGTGGCCCCAGTGTCACCCCACGATAACCCAATAATGCTGCGAAGCCTCCCAATATCGGCCATCATCTCCGTAGGGTAGATCAGGTCCGTCAGATGACTTAAGCAATCTGGTGTGATCCAGATGGTCGGACCCGGAAACAGTAGAGCACACGCCTCTTTTTCATTATCACCGAACTCATCTGGAAGAGCGGTCAGCTCTCCTACGAAACATAACACCGACGTAACAGCTATACCTTACGCCTGCATGGTGAGCAACAGCCCGATGCCAAGACCACCCCAAATTCGAGCACGCCCAAAGTATTCGTCAAATCGGCCTCGCCATGATAGCGTGCCACAGCTGGGGCCGATAATCACGCCTAGGTGCTTAGCTTTGCTTTCTACTGTCAGGCAGCAACACGCAAACGCAAAAGCAACCAGCTGCGTTCGCAATGCAAAGGGCTGGGACCCAGCAAGCGGAACATTCATCATGTTCTTGATGTTGAGTGCTAGGCCCGAAACGCGCGATTATCGAGAGAACAGGTCCGCCGAGGAGGTCATATATATATATATATATATGATCTAAATACCGAAAGTACACCATGGCTAAATCACCGGCGTGCGCACGCACACATGCCCAGTCATGAATCCATCCCATGCGCTTCAGCAGTACATGGGGAGCAACGGAGGAGAACAAAGAAAACAAAGGACAACTTTGCCGTACTCTTCTCGTAATGTTAAAGCCAGCATGCCGCGAACCACCAAGAACAATGTAGCACCAAGTGTTCTGGTGCAGCATGCGGACAAAACGAAGAAGCCACTCTGGCCAGCCTCAAGACTCGAACAACTGGTGCAACACGTCTTGCTCCACTGAAAGAAGCGCCGCCGCGAAGTCGAAGAAGAAGGCCACCGCGTCGTCGTCCTCCAGGAAAGCCTCGGCCATGGCCTCATCGACGCCGACAAAATTGGCCAGCATAGAGCGGCCCGTGATGGAACCACGCTGCGTGGAAGAAATGCGGCGCGACACCCAAGGCTGTACATGCTCTGGGGAGTGTAGAATACAAGCGTGCGCGGAAGTCCCCGGATTTCGGGCTCGGCAGTCGAAACGTTGCCTCACGTCCATCCCGACGAAGGCAGAAACAAAGAAGTCTGCCGGCTTCCGCTTGCTGGTGGTGACTATTGGGGACGAGCGAGGGGGTCTGAAAGCAGGGTGAGCTCCAATCGTGAATTGCCAATAGATATCACCGCCGCCCTCATCAGATAAAGGACCCTCGAGAGTCTGAAGCCTCCTAGGCACATACCTTAACCAACGCCCCCATCGTACTGCAGTCGTCGTCAGGGCGGCGCGGGGCGCACATGGGCGGCGGTGGCCGCTCACCCTCTGCAGCGCCGCCGTCTCCAGGGGCGTCGCCATCTCCGCCGTCCTCCGCCGAGGGCCACGGGATAGGGGCGCCGAAGACTCCAGGCAGCCTGGCCCCCCTTGTCATTCTCCTCATCCGCATCCTGAACATCCACGTCCTCCTCCTCCTCCTCAGGCTTAGGCCATGTGGTCGGAGCATCACCTTGTCCTCATGATAACTCCTCCACCGCTTCATCATCTGATCGCACAGGACAAACTCCCCTCCTCATCCTCCCCCTCATCCTCCTCCTCATCCTTCTCCTGCTCCTCCTCGCTTCTTCCTCCTCATTCCAGGGATTCTGGCGCAAAACATTTGGGAATTCCCACCTGAATCGAAAGCCTACTGGTGAGTGCCAAACCCTAGGCATGTATGGTAGGACCGAAACCTCAGATTGGGGCGTCTGGATAAACATGTTCCCCATGGTCTCGCTCCACCAAGGCCAGTTGCATCATCCCCATGGACTAGCTCCACCACGGACACTGGCATTGGATGTTGGCCATCCCAAATGCTTCACGGATGTGGCCCGTTGTCGGACAACTACTGGCGTGTGGCACCATGGCGCCCCGCTTGCTGCTCAAAACTATCCAGTACGTCGCCGATGCCCGCCTCATCCAACATGTGGGTTTAGCTACCACATAAGCCAATCACGCGTTTGGTAATAGTCCTCTCTCCTCCTCATGCCCCCTCGTCGCACCCGCACGTACGATGAGACGCTGGTCCAGGCGTTTCGCTGGAATGTCACTGACGTTCCATGATGAAGCGTGCAATTGCCAGCAATGTCGCGAATACGCATATGGATGGGCACTCTTCAAAAACGTGTTCCCACTCCAGCCCGATCGTTTCTTACACTGTTGAGGCCGGTAAATGCCCACAACTTCACGGATGGAGGGAGGGTGGGCTTAACATTCCGGCTCCCGCTCACAGCTCATTGAACATGCGCTCGTGAAGACTCAGTGTTTTCGACGCCTGCAGGACGGCCCCCTTGAGAAAGCAAGCTCTCACCGAAGAGTCCTTCCCTACACAAACCAGAAAGCTTCAGGCAATCCACAAACACACGGTGGGAGGGCCGCCCCTCTTCGGCACCGTGCTCTCGCCTGACGCCCCCTCGACCTCTCCAGTTACACGGACGGGTTGTGGATCTGGCTTCAAACTTACGGCCTGGATTTGGCGCCGAGCGGCGTCCTTCAAGCTTATCCCAACTGCATGGGTGGACTAGGGGGAAAACAAACCTACCTCGCTTTTGACCACCCTCGCTTCCAAGAGATACCAAACGATGCCACATTGCAGCCTGTACTAGTCAGGCCGCTTGACGAGGAGGCGCGTGGTATGACTTGGTTTTGCCTGGAAGCGAAAGCGGGGGAGGCAATTCACGCTCTGATGGACGGCGACCCCCTCTCAGATTCAGTACGCTTTGCCACGGTGTGCAGTAAGACAAATACCGGCTCGTGATGCGCATTGCGTTGCCGACAGGTGCGTCAATTCGACGTGTTGCGTCTTCCTGCTTCAATGAGTTGCATCTTCCGGAGGGCCATTGTGTTCTGACTCCTCCAGCCCTCCGGGATCAGGGAGGAACAACAAGGTGAGGATAGCATCGGGCAGGGTAAAGAATCAGCTCACGTAGCTGGTTTTCCTGGCGCCTCCTGGCGTTAGGAGGTGTCCATGTATCGAGGGATGGGCCCGGCGGTGGGGCCGAAATCAGCTGCGTGCAGCAGATTTCGTAACCAACCCTTCCCCTATCCTACAACTTCGGTCGGCCCCCAAAGGCACAAAAGCACGAAGAGAACCAGGGGGAGCAGAAGGCGTGTGAAAACAACAAGGAGAAAGGAATGACGACGAGGGGTGAAATCATGAGGGGGGTGGAACCAGAGGCAAGGAACGAGGACAAAGGAAGGATAACAACGACAGAGAGAGGAGAGATGATAGAGGAAGCGTAAACATGACAACAACGATACAGACAGAGACGGAGGAATGACAACAAACGACAAGGGCGGATAAACAAGACAGAGGAAATATAACAACGCCAAAAACAGGGATGGGACCCGGGTTGCTGTCGAAACCCCCTGCTCGAAACCAGCTTGCGGGTTCTAATGTTAGAATCACCGAACCCAGCCCCACAAATGGCGCCCAACATTTCCGCATTACTATGTATCCGTTTAGCCCCAAGAAACGCCAAATTAACTTCAACAAACCATACCACTATGGTCACGATGGCCCGCTCCCCCAACGCGCTGTTGTGCAGTGACACAAATTCCGACGACAATCGAACCGCGAAAACGAGAAACCCCTCAAGAACCCAAAACGGCGGACCTGGGCGTCCGCCGACGCACCGAACGCAGCATCGAATTGTTCGGCGCGCCACTGGGGGACGCGGAAGTCCGCGTGGAACGCACCAAGCAATGGGTCGCGAGCGCGCCTGTCGAGGCGTACCTTCTGCGGCACCTTGTTTTTCTGTCACTGGGCTACGGCGCACGCGTTGTGCCGACCTCCGCGCACACCGCCTCCCTGCCGGCCATGGGCGACGCTGTCCTGGCTTGCCTGGAGCAACTGAGCGGTTGCTCCCCCTGCGGCGCCTCCAAGAGCCATGCTCAGCTCAAGCTGAACAGAGGAAGACTCGGCGTGCGATCTGCCGCGGAACACGCCGCCGCCGCCTCATGCATCGCGCACCGAGCGAAGAGCTCCGACTTCTGTCAGCAGCTTTGCCCCAAAGGGGGTGGCCTGGCGTGCGCGGCGCAGGCCCACAACGCATCGTGCGAGACGCCCACCTGGTGTTGTTCGACTGCACGCAGCACGGCGACCAAAACGCCATCCCCCACGCGAAGGACAACCCGCGCTCGACGGGCTTTAGGCGGGTGCGGCCCTGGCCGCAGGGCGCGCCTCTCCCTGGTGCAGGCCATTGGCGCTGCAGTGTCGCCTCAGGCGCCGCCGTGCCAGGCCCATTGGCACCGTCTCCCGCACGGCCTCCTGCCAGTCGGCCAGCACAAACAACTGCGAGTCCTCCAGCAAAACGGGCATTCTTGCCCAGCCTGTGGTGACATGACGGATGTTTTCCACGTCGACGACCTGTTCGGCGCCAGCCGCGGCGATGGGGCCAAACGCCACAACGCCCTGCGTGAACCATGATTTCTTCGACGCCTGGCCCGATGGCCACGCCAGGACGGAATTGGAACGCCTGGGGCTGCTACTTGCTCACCAACCCCGCTGTGGAAACCGCCCACCGGGGCGAACAGGGCGGACCCGCGACGGCACGGCGGCCGCCTGGGATTTTGCCGCCGCGTCCAAGTTGTGCGAGTCTCCTCGTCGCGTCGACAGCTTCGTCAGATGCGGCGACAACGCGGCGCGCGGACATAGATCAAGAGGCATCGCAAGGACATTGCGCGGCTGCCTGCGCGCGGGACAAAGGATGCACCTTCCGCCCGCTGGCGGTGGAAGCCCACGGCGGCGAAATGAGCCGCGAGGCACGCAGGGCCTTCGGCGTCACGGCCACACGGGCTGCTGATGCCACGGGGGGACATGCCGCACCGCTTGCGGACCGTGCGGAGGGGCGGGGGAGGCCGCGGGCCGCCTGGCCGCGGCCGCGGCCGCCGCCGCGGCGGGCGGTGGGTGAGGCACCCCTGGCCCAACGAGGGGGACGAACAACAACAGAAACAGAAACAGCTCGGGGGTCTTATGTCTGTGTTGCTGTTCGTGGCCCTACCAGCGTTCACCGCCCGCCCCCCGCCCTTGCTCGGCCGCACGGGCGCCCTCTGCGCCCCTACGCGAACGCCGCGCTGGCGGTGCCTCGCTTGCGCCGGCCACTTTTTCGCCGGCGGGGCGGCGGATGGACCCCGCAACCGACCAAACCGAAGCCTCGTGGGCTCGGTGAACCCCACAAGCTTCCCGACTCTCTCGCCGACGCCCTTCCTGGCCCGCGACTCTCTCACGACACGAACTCCGCCCCCCACGACGAAAGGGACAACCGCCACCCACTCCAGCACGCCCTCCGGCTCCGCCGCTTTGTCGCGTCGCCACCGTAATGTCCGTCACTCGCCCCGTCACGGGTGGCCTTTCTCTCCCGGCTTCTCGTTTGGCCCGTCTGCTTGCGGTTGTTCCTCCCGTGCCTCCTCCTCGTCTCCAGTCCCTCCTCCTCCTCCTCCTCCTCCTCCTCCTCCTCCTCTTCCTCCTCCTCCTCCTTCTCCTCCCTCTCTCCCTCGCCATCTCCTCCCTTGTTCCCTGCTTGTTGTCTCCCTTCTGTCGTTTCCTGCTGGCCCTTGCCTTCCGCCTGTGCGTTCGCCGACGTATGCCTGCTTCTCGTTCCCTCTCTCCCTCACCGTCGCCGCGCAGCAAAGACTGCCAGGAGCCAGCAGCAATTATTCTGAATCCCCCGTGGTAAACAAACAGTACGGACCAATGGCGCGAACAAGCGCCAATACAAAACGATCCGCGATCCGCCTGATCTTCCCTCCTGAGGGGGGATAGTCGAGCATCGACCAGTTTGCAACACCCTTGCGCAAAACCCGTGCAACACCGAACCCAAACTCGCATAACCCCTTGCACAATTGCCCTTGCACACCATGTGCAAGCTAGTTCTTCCACAGTTAGCATACACGAATTTAGCTCAGCGGAGGCTTTCGAATTGAATCGGTGACGCATCGCCGATCGATCCGACAACCGATCGGCGACGCACGGGCGGTAACGAGGGTGCCGATGACCCCCTGAGAAAGCCATTTCAGGTCGTGCACCCTCAACGGTAGGGACGAGGGAGGATGGCATGACGTGGTCATGCTGGAAAAGGCTCCTGGACACCAGGGCTTTCCCCAGGACAACCTTCTAGCCTTTCATGCTGAGTCGCTGACGGCCCTGGGACCCAGGGAAGGCCCACAGAGTTCGAACACTATGAAAAAATATGGGACTCTAAGACCTCATTCTTCAAGGTGAGGAAGCTTCCATGTATTTTACCACCAGGCGGCGCTTGCAGAACTTCTGACGCCTGCAATGGAGGCCCGACAGCAAGCGTTGCCCCGAAGCGACAGCGAACCCTGTGGGGCGGGGACTTTCCACCACAAACGGGCTACAGCGAAACCGTCAATTGCTCATGTGCAGCATAGCAATGTGTTGTTGTCAGTCTCTGGTCCACCTAACAAAGTTCCCCTCCCGGACGAACAGATCAGCAGTATGAGTCTCAAAGAGACACTCAGTGTGGTCAAAACTGGCCCCTGGACCTGTTCTGGAATGCGTGTCGACTGGACTCTCAGGCTAATTAATTCTAGCTGCGGCGACGAGCCCCCGGAAACCAAAACATGCACATCAACGAACGACAAAAGACCTCGATCCTGTAACCTCCTGGTCCCTGACAACTGGCGGTCCGATCAATGTGTGACGGGCATGATGCCCGAAACCCGCCTCCAAAGAAGAACAACAAACTACAAACAGGCCGCCTCCAATTTTCAAGGAAGCATGTGGCTCGACGATTGCCGTATTTTTCCCACGGGCGGCTGGTGCAAACCAAAATCATGCGATGCATTGTTTGTTTCCATGTGGGGTCCCTGAAGCCCCGACCCTTCCCAGCCCTTTCCCCAGGGTTGGCGCTTCATCCCGAGCCGTTGTTGGACGGTCCTGGGGACCGAAGACGGCCTACGAAGACCAGTACCTTACAAATACCGTGGTTCCGATTTGTTCACGATGTTGGAGGTCTGAGTGCCAAAGCTGCCCCCCTCCAGGCGGGGTTTGGGGGGGAACGAGAGGGGGGGGCCCGCTCAGGGGGAAAGCGCAGGCGCCCCATAGCAAAACCAGCACGCCCCCGTGCGGGGTGGGCCATCAGGCCACCATCGGCGATGAGTGGGAGCTTCGGGGGTCGATGCCCGGGCACAGGCTCGCGTGGACTCGTGGGCTCCCCGACCCCGGCGCGCCAGGTCCACGGAGCGGGGAGCGCAGCCCCGGAGACAGGCAGCCCGTGCCGCCTCAGCCGGCGACGGAGCGCGCCGATCCTGCACGGTGACGGGGCCCGTCGCCAACGCTTGTCCCGTCGTCCGTGTTTTGAGCAGAGACCGACCGTCCCGGCATTTCTATAGTCCTACCACGAAGTGTGCTTAGAACCCAAAAGCGTTCTAAGAACAAAAACAATGTTCGTAGAACATCAACCCGATGTGATAAAAACAAAACAGTCCCAACCAGAAATGTTCCAAGAACATCCCGTGGGAACCACAAGAAGTTCTTAGAACACTGCTTGGTAGGACCATGGGCACGCCAGGACGCTTCGCCACTGCTTGAGTGTCGGCCCCTCCTCGAGAGGCGTTCCCTCCCTGCCGTTTCTGCCGTTTCTCGCTACACAGCGTCTTGTCGCGCGCCCCGCGGGCGCGGAGCGCTCCGCAGCGGCCCATCAGGGCCGTGCGGGCACTCAGACGGCGGCCCCGGGAACCCGACCCCGAGAGAGGCGTTCCCTCCCTGGGCCCGTCCCCACCCCGCCCGGGGCTCGCCGCCGACTGTGCACGAGCGCGCTCCACAAACTCGCAGAGGAGCTGCTCGCGCGTGGCCGGGAAGCCCCCGCGGGGGGCCCCCGGTACCTCACGCCGAGGCAGACGCGTGCTCTTCGAGCGGTTGCGAGCAGGCACTCTGCGCGTCAAGGAACGCGCGGCAGCTTGCACCCCCCGCCCCCGGCACCTCCTGCAGCCCCGGCGCTGAGGCCTCCCCCGGCGCTAGGTCCTGCTCTGCTCCGCGCGAGGTAATTCGGCCCCCGCGCGGCCCGCTGGGACCTTACTCGCTGCTGGCGCTCTCGCCTGCGGCTGCTAACCAAAAGTAGAGGAACGCGCTCGCCGTCGACCCCTCTCTTCCTCCCACCCCTCTCCTCCTCCTCCTCCTCCTCCTCCTCCTCCTCCTCTCCCTCCTCCTCCTCCTCCTCCTCTCCTCCTCCTCTTGATCCTCCTCCTCTTGATCCTCCTCCTCTTGATCCTCCTCCTCTTCCTCCTCCTCCTCCTCCTCTTCCTCCTCCTCCTCCTCCTGCTGCTGCTTTTCCTCCTCCTCCTTCGCTCCCCCCCCTCCCTGGAAAGGGACCTCCTGCACGTGCTCGGCCGGCGCGCTGCCGCCCGCCGGCTCCTGCCCGGGGCGCGGCTCGGGGGCCTGGGCGAGAGGCCCGCGCGAGGCGCGCTCCGAGGGGGGCGCCGCGGGGGCGCGCCCCGGCCCGGGCTGGCCGAGGAAGTGCCACGTCCGTCCGTCCTACGGATCTTGACTGTGTCAAAAGAGCAGAATCCACCGCCACCGAGAAACTATAGGGGGGGGGGGGGGCGGCGACCCCGCAACCCCTGGGCGGCGGCACGCCCGAGGCGTCAGCCGGCACTGGACAACGGTCTGGCGTACCACGCGGGCTCTCGGTGGCGGTGGTCCCTGTTTTTCTTCATACGGTCAGCCTTCTGGCCCTCTCCGAGCCTCCTCTCCGCCACGGCCACGATCCGCCGCCGAATTCTGGCCTGGGCGCCGATCCCCCGCTGGGGCGATCGACGATCGAGGGCCGAGGTTTTGTGCCTTCTCTGGATCTCGACGCCGCCACGGCTAGATCTGCCGCGGAATTCGGACTATGGCGCATCCCAGGAAAGCGCCGATCCCCTATCCGACCGACATCTGGTAATCGAACACTTCCCAGATCCCCTAGATCATTATAAAAATCCAAGTGGAAGACGTTGGCCAATTCGATTATGTCAACGCCACCTGGGACCAATGTCTGAGCGTCTGCTTCGGGAACAAGCCTGATTTTCAACACACGCGCACGAGGAGACGCAAGACACACATAAGTGAGCTCGCTGACACTCCCTTCAATTCGGAGTGGCAGCACAGCTGCAATCGAAGGATTGATAGCCTGCCCCTTCATTTGGTCCGAGTCCTGTAGCAGGACACGGCCTCGACTTTCGACTCGCGACCCTCGATCGAGCGACGACGACGACGGCGACGACGACGACGGCGGCGACGACGACGACGACGGCGGCGGCGGTGGCGGCGGCGGCGGCAGCGGCGACGGCGACGGAGGCGGCGACCGCGGCGGTAGCGACGGCGACGACGGCGGGGGGAGGCGGCGCCGAGAGTCCCAGGGCGCCGTCCATCCAGAACTGTGGGGCGGATCCGGCCGTGGCAACGGGGGCGCCCCCTGGGGAGGCCCAAGGGTCTGGTCAAGGACGGCCAACTGTCAACGCGCAGATGTCGGCGGCGAGCGAGGAGGGGAGGTGAGAAGGAGAAGGCCTTCTCAGAAGGCTCGGAAGTCCCCTGGCCTTCTGGACGGCGTTCTGCGCCTTCCCCGAAGACAGAACAGAGAACCCCTCAGAGGGCGCGCGGGCTTCTGAGGGTCCCGCCGCCCTCTGAGGAGGCCTTCTCCTTCTCGTTTCCCCCCCTCGCTCGCCGCCGGATGTAGGGGTGCGCGAGAAGGATGCGAGGGCCTTGGACGGGCACGTCGACACTTTTCGGGCGGGGCGCGGCCAGCGAACGCGGCCAAGGATGGGCCGGAAGAGGAGGACGCAAGGGTAGCCTTGGAGCGTCGTTCGTCCGCACCGTGCGCGCCGCCTGTAGAACGAATCTTGCCGCCCCCACCCGGGAAACCCCAGTTCCGCTGACCAATCTACCGCCCCTAAGGGTAGGTCGGGCGTGTCCCCCCATACAAGCAAATTTTGGATGACACATCAAAACAATATTTGAGAATTGTCAGAAATTGTTAAACAATTGTGCCCTGATATTTGTTTGACTATTTTTTAACATATTCCTCCTGTAGGGGGATAGGCCCGACTTAATCCTAAGGTGAGAATGCGTGCCCTCTCCTGCGGGCCTCGCGGCGCCGATCCCCACCTGGAGGGGGCACGCTGGGAAGGCTCACTTGCCCTACACTTGCGGGGCTGGGGATGGTTCTGACGATGCTGAAGGGAGGCCCACTTAGCGCTCAGAACCCCCGAGACTCTCGACTCGCGACCCTCGATCGAGCGACGACGACGACGACGACGACGACGACGACGACGACGACGACGACGACGACGACGGCGGCGGCCTCGGCGGCGGCGGCGGCGGCGGCGGCGGCCTGGGCTGTGGACTGGGCGGCTGCTGCGGCCTTCGCGGCGGCGGCCTCCGCGGCGGCCTGCGCCCGCGCCTCGCGCGCCTGCGGTCGGGCGCTCTCGCTGGCGGGCACCGCCCGACCGGCCGCCGCCGAGGGCGGTGACGGCGGCGACGGCGGCGGCGGCGGGGACGGCGGCGACAACGGCGAGGGCGAAGCACGACAAGGGCGAGACGGAAAATGACGACGAACACGAGGAGGACGAGGACAACGGCGAGCACGGCGACGAGGGCGACTATGACTGGGACGACGGGGGGTGGCAGGAGGAAGGATCAACACCTCAGATATTATGGAGGCGTCGGCAGGGAGCGGTCGCAAAGGTTCTGGGAAGGAGCTGGATTGAAGTCGGCATTCCCGCCAGGGTTGGTCGCCGGGCCGAAGTAGCCTCGGTGGCACGCTGGGCGTCCTCTTTCATCTGCACCTGCAGGTTGTGGTAGCGCTGATCGTCGCGCTTCCTCGTGCACGGGAACGAGGATGAGCAACAGCATCGACAGCAGAGGAGGCAGCCAGGGGAAGAGGAAGCAGGCACAGGTGGGTGAGGACAAGACCAGCGTTAGGTCGGGCATATCCTCCTACAGGCGGATTTTGGACGGAAGATAAAAAGTACTCAACACATACAAAAATAGTCAAACATCATCAAAACACAGATCCCCATTTTTCTTTACAATTTTGATGTTCCTCCTGTAGAGGGACATGCCCGACTTACAACCAGCTCCATACCTTCCCCTAGCCTCGCCCTCCCCACACCCTGTTCCTTCCCCCCTCCCCTCCCCGTCCCCTGGTGACCCAATGCTGCTTGCCCCCCCGCTCCTTCCGCGCAACCCCCTCCTCCTCGATTTCATCCTCCTCCTCGTCTTCCTCCCTCATCCTTCTCCTTCCCCTTCCTTCTTCTCCGCGTCCTCCGTTTTCTCCTTTTTTGTTCCTTCCCCTTCCTTCTTTTCCTTATGTTCCTTCTCCTTCTGCTCATTATGGTCCTCCTTTTCTTCCTTTTCCTTCCCTGTCTCGTCCTCTCCCCCACTACAAAAATCACCCATGACGAAACGCTCCGAACTAGTGGGGCACTTTGCCACCGCGAAGCTTACGCGCACGGGCTCGCCAACGAACGCTGCATGACCGCTGCACCGCCGATGACGAGAATAGGTCTTCATGAACAGAAGCATTCAAGGAATCCCTGAACCACTTGCTCTGAGGTTTCTATACCTACATATTTCTATACCTGTATATATGCGTGTGCATGTTCGGTGGTCCCCTTGATGGCCTCCTGGAAACGTGGCTACTCGACCACGGGGGGGGTACGGTCGCACTCCATTACTACGACTATTACGCATACGGCTACGACCAACACTGTTTGTACGACGACTGTTTCTACGTCTACGACACCCCTGCCATTATCAATGGTAGTGATGCTGATGCTGCCGTCTATCAGCACTACCAGTATTCCTACTCCTACCAGTGGGGCACCAATCCCAATACATCACCTGCGTGGGCCTTACAACGACTACAAATACTGCTATGATTACTATAACAAATACTGTTACATCTAGTCGTAGCCGTATGAAGAAGGAACACATAGGTAATATTCGTGATGACCCATCGTGGCACCACGTCGTGGTATCCCTCCGTGTGAGTACGTCCAGCTGTTTACGGCATTATGCTGCAAGGGTGTCAATACCGACCGATAACGCAGGCGGGCTCGGGGGAAATAACCGTGAGGGCACTCAAATATACTGATCCGTGTGCTCTTCCCCTGAAGCCGCGAGGAGGCGAGGAGAGAAGGTCTCCCGAAACCGACGAACTCCCAGACATCTCCACGAAAACTTCTGGAAGCACGCACGGGGCCGGAAAAGCTGAACGACCTCTGACCTCGATCCTCCAAGGAAGGGGGCATCGGCATCCGTGTATCTTTCTCCTCTGAATAGGAGGCCTCCTTGATGGGGTCATCCTAGATTGGGTCGGAGGATTGCACCGCATCACCGATGTGTGACGACGCATCGGCGATGCATCGGCAACGTCGGCGATGCATCGGCGACGGCGACGCAGCGAAGATCGGGCTCCACGTCGAGCCGCATCGTCAAGGCATCGTCGATGCGGAGCGATCCTCCGACCCATCTACTCGGACTCCATGTGGGAGGCCCAGAGGGGAACTGGCGACGCGAACAACGGGATACCGTAGGAGGGGGGAAAGGCTTCTCAGAAGGAGGCTGCTTCTTAGAAGACGCCGTCCCTACACCCACAGGCAACGCTCGCGCCTTCTAAGAAGCAGGGGTACGTCCAAGAAGCCTTCCCCCCTCCCCCCGGACTACCCCCCCCTCTGCGCGAGGCCGAGGGGAGGTCAGAGAAGCAGACCAGGACTCCCTACGGACTGATCTTCCCACCAAGCGGGCCCCGGAAGCCTCGGCCCCTCTCTCGGGGGCAGCGCTTCGTCCCGAGATGTCGCTGCCGAGGGTCGCGGAGTCCAGCAAAAAACGCTCCTCGGAGGCCCGAGGCGAAGGGAAAACGCCGGGACTGAACCCACACATTCGCCACAAGCCCAGGGGGGAAACCGATTGGGGCATCAAGATACGTCGGCCCGGGACTGCCCTCAGCTCCGAGGCTCCCAGGGAGGAAGACGCGAAGGATGGATCGATCCGGCAGTCGGGTCGATCACTTCTCTACTCTGTGGCGAGTACGGTGGCGAAGGAGGATGAGGAGGAGGTTCAAGGGGCATAAGGACACATAATAAATGCACACAAATAATAGGACTCCCCATGTTTCCATATATTTTCTGGGTTTTTGTCTTCCCCCCCCACTTCCCATATTTTCCCATATGTTCTGGGGAATCGACGATTCATTGTGTCTGTGTTGTTTTTTCCCTCCTGATGGGGTTCAGGGGAAGAGGGGGACGAGGAGGCCGACGACGAGACGGAGGATGGGGGTAAACATACACATACACCCCTGCCCCCTCGCGGTCCCCCTCCCCAGAGGGGGGGGGAGGGGGGCCAGTGGGGGGGGACCTGTTTTGGTGCCCTGTTGTGGGACATCGCTCCCCAGGGCGGGGAGCGATGTCTTTCCCCCAGAGGGAAAGGCAGGAGGAGGAGGAGGAGGAGGAGGAGGAGGAGGAGGAGGAGGAGGAGGAGGAAGCGGGGGAGGAGGAGGAGGAGGAGGAGGAGGAGGAGGAGGAGGAAGAGGAGGGGGAGGAGGGGGAGCAGGGGGAGGAGGAGGGGGAGGAGGAGAGAGGAGGAGGACGGGTCGCCTAAGCCCTTCGAAGAAACCCTCCAGGATCGGTACCAGGCCGAGGCGGACAGAGGGAGAGACAGAGAGAGAGAGGCGGCGCCCCGCCGTGGCGCCGTCCTTGCCAGAATCCTCTCGAGGGCGGCGCGCTCCGCGGCGGTGAGCGGCTCCTTCTCCCGCGCCTCTGCGCTGGCGCGTCCGAGGATCCGTGGATCGGAAATCCGTGGATCCGAGGATCAGAGATCGGAGATCCGGAACTCGGAACGGAAATCTGCGCTGGCGCTTGCGGTCCGAGGATCGAACATCGGAAATCTGCGCTTGCGCGTCCTCGTCGTCGATCGGAAATCCGCGGGTCCGAGGATTGGATTTCTAGAGGCGGGCGTCGTTGTCGTCGTCGCCGTCGCCGCCGTTGTCGTCATGGTCGCCGTCGCCGTTGTCGTCGTGGTGCTCGTCGTCGTCGTCGTCGTCGTCGTCGTCGTCGTCGTCGTCGTCGTCGTCGTCGTCGTGAGCTGCTCCTTCTCGCGCGCCTCCGCACGGGCGCGGGCTGCAACGGGCTGCAAGAGTAGTGTGGCCTTCGTCGTCGCCGCCGTCGACGAGGAGCGAGAGTGGAGCATCCAAGGTTCAGCGCAGTGGGGCCCTTTTGGGGCCTCCAGGAACGCCCCCGTAGTCGCAGCTGCATCGCTCCGCCTCGAAATTCTGGTCGGAACGTTTCCCCCAGGGGGCGATCTGTGAGGAGGGGCCGTTGGTCGCCAGTGGGGCCGTCTTGGGCCTCCAGGAGCGCCCCCGTAGCCGCAGCTGGCCCGCTCCGCCTCGAAATTCTGGCCAGAACGTCTCCCCCCAGGGGGGCGATCTGTGAGGAGGGGCCGTGGGTCGCCAGTGGGGCCTTCTTGGGCCTCCAGGAGCGCCCCCGCAGCCGCAGCTGCAGCGCTCCGCCTCGAAATTCTGGCCAGAACGTTTCCCCCACTGGCCATCGCTCGGACGTCCATGTCCTGTGTTTTTGTTCGGTTTCGTGCGTGGTTGTTTCGCCAAATGATCAAGGATGCTCCACGATGGTCCTCGCCGAGGGAAAAACGCACACGTCCGAGCGATGCCAAGCCCAGGGGGCGATCTGTGAGGAGGGGCCGTGGGTCGCCCACCTCCTCGCTCCTCCTCCTCCTCCTCCTCCTCCTCCTCCTCCTCCTCCTCCTCCTCCTCCTCCTCCTCGCTCCTCCTCGCTCCTCCTCGCTCCTCCTCCTCCTCCTCGCTCCTCCTCGCTCCTCCTCCTCGCTCCTCCTCGCTCCTCCTCCTCCTCGCTCCTCCTCCTCCTCCTCCCTCCTGTGAGGAGGGGCCCTTGGTCGCCCACCGGGGTCGGGGAGTGCGGGCATCTCCGGGGCGCTCCTGGGGACCGCGGGTGGGCGCTCAGGCAGTCTGGCGGGAGGAGCTGCAGCACTCCCGTCAGTCCCTTCAACCTCTCTTCCTCCTCCTCCCCTTCCTCCTCCTCCTCCTCCTCCTCCTCCTCCTCCTCTCCTCCTCTCATCATCATCATCATCATCATCATCTCTCTTCTTCTCCTCCTTTTCCTCCTCCTCCTCCTCCTTTTCCTCCTCCTCTCCTTCTCCTCCTCATCCTCCTCCTCCTCCTCCTCTCATCGTTCTTCTCCTCCTCCTCCTCCTCCTTTCCTCCTCCTCCTCCTTCTCCTCCTCCTCCTCCTCCTCCTTCTCCTCCTCCTCCTTCTTCACCTCCTCCTCCTCCTCCTCCGTCTCCTCCGCCACCCTCTCACCGTCCTACTCGTCGAGGTGTGACATGGCAGGGACAGCGTGTCGACCGAACGGGCCGCATTAACATTTAAGACTGGAACTGAACTTCCCACGGAACTTGAAAAAGTCTCACAGTGACAGGCTGTCTGACATGCTCAAGATGAGGAATGGTTCGTGGCCATGCTGTAGGAAGACTCTTGCCCACGTCAGCAATGTCAACGAATTGAAATGACAGCTCAACGCAATCGGTCAGAATGGCCAACGCTCACGTGCCGTCTTTGAAGATATCTCCGTCCGCATCAATACCGATACCTTCCTATTCCTTGCGGTTCGTCTCTGGCGCGGCAACCAGGGTCATGGGCATCACGTTGTCCCAGACCCCAGGGACCTCATCCGTGCACATCCTGACCACTTTGCCTGTGGCCACTTCCCTGTGCCAGCATGAACCGCACCAGCCCTCCTGGCAGCTGTAGTTGACGTCCTCTTGCACGGAACTGGCAATGTCGGTGAAATTGTTGCCACGACCGACGGTGGCCATGCCGCCGCTTGGCCGGAACACTACTTTGATGGGACCCTTCGGGGATCTCAGGTAGTTTCTGCACAGGGTGATCGTGACCTTGTCGCCCGGGGAGCCCATGACCAATTCAACCACCTTGTCCAGATCGCCCTCGCACGGGGTCCCCTCCACAGCAAGAACCTCTGAACTACAGATCTAGAATTCGCCATGGAAATTGAGCTCTCGGACGACATCCGAGGAGAGGATGGCTTCTCCGCCCGCGTTGAACTCAGCCCCTTGCACCACTCGACGGCGCGCGGAGCCCGCTGAGGGACGGGGACACGCCCCGGCGCCGGCAGAGAAACCGTCCGGTGACACCCGAGAGTTCATATTCGAGTTATTGTAGGGGAACAACATGTGTCATAAACATAACAGCTCGGAGGTCCGTGCGGATTTCTCGGGTCGGCGCTGGACCCCCCTGGCGGCGCCTCCGGCGCCGCCCTTGGCGCGCTCCGCGCGCCAGGGAGGGGGGCACCAGCGCCGATCCGAGGAATCCGCGCGGACCTCCGAAGTTTTTCATGTTCATGTCACTTTTTGTTCCCTTCTATTTGCTGGCCTGCCGACCTCGTCGCCCTCCAGTATCCACATGCCCTCGCCGTCCTTGGTCAGCACGTCCTGGTTCACCGTCATGGCGCCCCCCTCGTCCTCGGGCCGCCGACCGGCGAAGGGCAAGGGGGCCCCAGGGAGCGGCAGCCAAGCAGAGCCCCCGCAGAGGGCAGCCCTGTTGGCATGACTGTTGGCTGTCTCGGTACAGGGCAGTTTTTAATACATGGGATGGTTTTAAACACATCGGATGTTTAATGCATGATTAATGTATGCATAAATTTACGCATGAACTCATCGTTGTTTTTCAATACTAAGGCCCTGCATGTTCAATACATGATCCGCACGCGGAGCATGAATAAAAAAAACGGCACTGTAGGGTCTCTGCAGCTTTCCAGGTGGCACCCCCGACCGCGCAGCGCTTGGGCAAATCGTGCCCCTGCGTCTCGCCGCTTCGCTGCCCGAGTGCTCTCGTCGCCCCGAAGAAGGCTCCACGCCGGCCCAAGGCCGCCCCGAAAAGGACTGCACGATGCCCGAGGATGGGTCCCAGACATCTTGGTGGTCTCCAAACCAGGTGGTGAGACACCCGGTGGTGACCCCGTTTCCCCAAAGAAATAATTCTGGGTCACCACCGGGTTTGGGGACACGCGGTCGCCACGAGGTTTTGCGTTTCCTGGGCCAGCCAGCGCTCGAAAACCATTACCCAAATCGCACAAAACTCACCACCGGGTGTTCTCACCACCAGGTTTGGGGACCACCAGACATCTGAAAGACCTTCACCTGCCCAAGGAGTTCCCCCAGACGCCCCATGAGCTATCAGATGCCCCAGACAGGCTCCCATGGGGCCCTCCAGGAAGGCAGTGGGAGGCGTACCAACTTCGAAAGACGGTTCCCCAAATTGTCCTGATAGGCAGCCCCAGAGGACCTGTTGAGTCCTCCAAGACGGCCCTCTTCCAAGAGAGCCCGAAGAAGGCCCGAGAGCCTCCCAAGACGGCCCATGACTGCCTGAAGAGGCCTCGCGGACGGCCCGTATATTGTTCTAGCGGGCCTCTTCGGGAGAGCTCGTTCGGTACCGGGCCCACAGAAGCCCGCAAGAGACAACGCACCAACCCTGCAAAGTCACGACAACTGTATGCTAGAGTCGGGCTGCTGAACTAAGAAACGATGCATTAGGAACGACGCCCCTGTCTGGCCCCCAGAGCTCCTGCGAGCAAGAGGAGGGCTAGGGGAGCAGCCATGGAAGCACCTGAGGCACATCGAGCCCCTTCCGAACCCCCACAAACAGATATTCTTGTTCAGCACCTCGACTGCACAGCCTTGCCCAAACTTGGGGGGCGCGCAAACATGGATTAGCGATCCATGGATTTGGCGCGCTGTCGCCTAATCCATGGATCGGGGGAGGTGCCCTCCCCACAGTGCGGCCTGTGCCGCCTCGCTCCGCGGGGGAAATCCGCGATGTTCCATGGAGAGGGGACCCGCCGCTGATCCACGCCCCCTTAATCCACGTTTGCGATCGCCTGAAAACTGTTTCTTCTTTTGGCGTCTCGAGCCTCGCGGCGCTGCCCCCCCGCAGGCCCCCCAAAGATCACAACACAAGGTCTGCAGGGCCTGCGCGGCCGAGGGCTCGGCAGCAGTCAGGGCTGAACCTAAACGGTGTTGTTCGTTTTCGTGTTATTTCCGTTTTGCCTCGTTTTGTCTTCAATCCGCCTTTACCGCAAGACGAAATCGACACGAAAACTGCCCACGAAATCGCCAACACACCGTTTAGGTACACCCCTGCTCCCCGCATCGGGAGCGGCCAAGAGGGGGGTGTCCAAGAGGAGGGGGTGCAAATCATGACCAGCGGCACGTGCGCGGCCCAGCGGGGGGGCCAGGGACGTAATGGAAATAATGAGAGGCGCCATGAACTCTGGGGAAATATCATGGCCCCCGCCATGATATCCCCCCCCCCCTGGTCATCACCCCCCTCTTTGCCGCCCCCGAGTTTAGGTGCACCCCTGCCCCCCGCAGGCCCCCAGGAGCGTCCCAAATCATGGGTTTTATTCAGGTTTTGGCCCCATGTTGGCCTCCTGGGGGAGGGGGGACGCAGCTTAGACACCCCCCCCCTCCTGTTATCGATCTCACTCGAGACCCCTGCCCCCCGCAGGCCCCCCGGAGAAACGCAACAAGACCTGCGGCTCGCCATCGCTCGGACGTATATTTTTTTTCGGTTTCGTGCGTGGTTTTTTCGCCAAATGGTCAAGGATGTTCCTCGATGGCCCTCGCCGAAGGAAAAATGCACACGTCCGAGCGATGCCAGGGCGGGGGCCTGCGCGGCCGAGTGCTCGGCAGCGCCGCCCCGCGCGCGCGCGGAGAGTGCGCGGCCCCCGCCGGGCTGCAGGCGCAGCCTCCCGAGCTCCCGGGAGGGCCCGCGGGCCTCCCGGGAGGCCCCCGCGGCCCCTCCCGGGAGCCCAACGTCGCGGCGGAGGGTCGTGGAACCTCGGCGGCGGACAAACCTCCCCTCAGGAAACCTCTCCCCTTCGTGAAAACGGCCTGGTCGACCGAAACCGACGGACCTGGAGCCGCAAGGATGACGGCCGCGACGCCCTCTCGCGAACCGAAAACGGCCAATTCACTAATCGACGTGTCAGGGTAGGAGGTCTATCCACCCCCGATAACCGATCCCCATCCCCAGCGGCGTGGCCTAATTAGGCCCCACTGGCCGATCTACCCCCCTAGATGGGGACACACAGGTCGTTCCCTTCGAGTCTCGAGGGGTGCATCCCCAGCTGGGGTGGTAATCTGGTGGGGGTCTCGAAGGGGATGGGGATGGGGATGGGGATGGGGATGGGTTAAACGATACCGAGCGGCAGAACAGGTGGAGCCTCGCGGAGAAAAACGGCGCGACCTCAGCCTGTGGCATCAAGAGGGGGCAGTCACCAGGGGGATACCGGCTCAGGTGCAGCACAGGTCGCTCACATCTGGCAGAAGACGGCACACATGTGATGGCTCGTGCATTCGGGGGGAAACATCGAGCTGGAATCGGCGATACATCGCCGACAGATCGGAGACTGGCCCCCGATGGCGAGAAGGCACGCTCCTGGACGGGGTGGACTGTCGGGTCTATCTCGGCGATGAATCGGCGATAAGAGATCGATGCGTTCCTCTTTCAGCCTCCCTTCCGAAGATTACCCCTGACATAATGCGAGCCAGATCGATGTCAGGCCGAGGGCACGACACTGGGAGGCAAGCGCCTCGTGTGGAAGCATTGCGCGACGTCCGGTGCTCAGGGTGGGGCGCGGCCAACCGACCGCGGTCCTTGACAGCCGCGATGCCAACCCCTGGGCGGTTCGGAAAGTCGCGCAGCTCCACGCCCAGCGGCTTCGGCACGCAGACGTCGAAGGTGACGGCGCCGTCGGCGACCCCCGAGCACCTCTCGCGCCACTCCTCGGACGGGTGGGGGGCCAACGATCAGGGGAACTCGTGGGAGGTCGTGGGCGCGATCAGGACATGGTCCATTGGCTCAGGTTGAGGGGATACGTCATGTTGCTTGTCCGGAAGAGCTTGCCTATCCGGTCGCGCCGCTCTCCGCGTCGGATCCTTGTAGCACGTCGACTCGGCAGCAAATTCAAGTCAAATCCGCGTCGCGCCCACGTTGAGCCCACGTCAAATACGAGTCGGACCCGCGCTGGACACAATAGAAGATCGCGGTTTACATGACAGAACGGGTTCCTCAAAGATGCAATGTAGCATGTGAGGTCTTCGTGGGCGCGATTCAGACCTATCAGGCTAGATTCGGAGGCTGTTTAGCCCAGTTTAGCCCAGAGGCCGATGCTTGGATCAGAGGGAACACGTTTCGTGGACGCTTGCCTTGGACAGACACTTGGACACGTGGGGGACGCCCCACCCCAAAAAACAGCACTTAGCATGTCCTGAGAACTGGGAGCCCCGCCCCTACCTGAAGTCGGAGGATGGGGGGGAGCCCGTAGTTCGACCCCCCCTGCAATTCTTCAGGGGGTCCCTCCACACACCCCGGTTCGAGCCCCCCCCTCACTTCCAAGCGTCCACAAAACGCGCTCTGTCTTAGAACCGAGTCCTCAGATTTGCAACCTAAAGAATGCGAGCACCTCGCAGTCTGGCAGGAGACGGGTGCCCTGGTGGTGCGAAGAGGAGGGAAGCCGGTGCTCTTTACGTCGACACCTGGGACGAGAACAGCACCGAACATGAGGCACGTCTGCGATGGAACATAAGCTGCTGCAGCGACATAATAAGTCCTGCCCCTGGTTTTCCAAACGCCTCCCTGGCACTGCAGGTGCGAATCCAGGAAAAAAGAAGGCGCGGCAACGGGGCCGAAACCAGCAGCAACTACACGCAGCCTGTGTTCGGACCTCTCCTCCTTTCACAACCTCCCCCTTTTGTCCGAACCGAGCCGTCAGGGCCGACCCAAGAAACCCGTGCGGACCTCGAGAACTGTACATACGTTTCTCACGCGTTTTCGTGGTCTTCAGCGCATGCTCGTGAACCATCCTCGTCCCTGCTCCCGCCTCCCCTCCCTGGACGCCCGCCGTGGGTACGAACAGCATGTCCACGATGCCCAACAACAAGTGTTGTCCCAAACCGACAGCGGCCGCTGGTGGGCAGGCGGCCCTCGGTCTCGAGTGGGCACGGCCAGAGGCGGCATGGGCAGGCAGCCCTGCTCACGCGGAAGAGGGGCCTGCTGCTGGGCAGCGTGCCCGTGCTTCCCCCGTGCCCCTGCCTGCGAGGTCCTCCCCCTCCTCCTCCTCCTCCTCCTCCTCCTCCTCCTCCTCCTCCTCCTCCTCCTCCCTCCTCCTCCTCCTCCTCCTCCTCCTCCTCCTCCTCCTCCTCCTCCTGTTCCTCCTCCTCCTCCTCCATCCGCCGCCTGGGGGCCGGCGCCCTGGTGCCCCAGCGGGCGGTGGATGTGGATCTGTGCTGGCCCCCGGGGGGCCCGCGTACAGCGCGGGCGCGGCCGCAAAAACCCCTCGCAAGAAACCCAACCCTGAAAACCCACGCGCGAGGTGCACCTGAGGGGGCAACCTGGAGCACCCTGAACGCAGCAGCTTCTCCAACGGCTGGGGAAATGCACCGCGCAACGCGGGGAGCGAAGAAACCCAGGATACCCTGACGAAAAGCAGATGGTTTCTTGATGCGCGCCCCCGCTGTATATCCATGTCCACCGCCTGCCGAGGCCCCCGAACATAGATCCTCCAGGCTTGAGCAGGGACCGACCGTCCCGGCATTCCTATAGCCCTACCACGAAATTTTCTTAGAACCCAAAAATGCTCCAAGAACGAAAGCAATGTTCTTAGAACATATTCCCGCTTTGTTCAAACAAGACAGTCCCAGCCATAACTGTTCTAAGAACAGCTCGTGCAAACCGCAAGAGGTTCTCAGAACATTGCTTGGTGGGGCCATAGGCGAGCCAGGACGCTTCGCCACTGCTTGACAGGCGGCGGCCATGCGCGCACTCCCGCTCGGCCCCGTCCGACGGGGAGGCGCGCCCCAGCCGGCGCGAGCGAGGGCGAGGCACCCGCCCCTCCGGCCGGCGCTCCTGCTGCGTCGCCGCCCGGGGGCCGTCCTGCGGCGCTGCCTCGACGGGGCCAGGGTGGGCGGGGGGGGAGGCTGCACGAGGAAGAGAACGACGGAAAGGGGGGGGGGGAAGAGGTCAGGAGACGGGCGGGGGGAGGATCAGGAGGACGGCAACAAGGGGTGGGGGGGGGAGGCTGCAGGAGGAAGAGAACGACGGGAGGGGGGGGGGGGAAGGAGGTCAGGAGAAGGGCGGGGGGGGGATCAGGAAGACGGCGACAAGGGGTGGGGGGGGGAGGCTGCAGGTGTGCATGGGGTTGAAGTACAAGGGTGCAGAACCCCTGATCCGTTGGTAGAGAGAAGGAGGGATAGATGGATATCTTTCCCTCCCGCACGATCAAGGTCTGATCGATCTATCTCAATACCTGAGCCCAAACGGCCAGGCGCAGGAGAGGTAAGGATAAGGGGTATATATGAGGGTATTATACGGGTTCCATTCACACCCCCCGTCCCGAATCCCGCCCGTGAGGGCAGGACTCGGGAACAAAGGAAGGAAATCCGTCACCCTTTGACTCCTTTAGTCCTTAAGTCAGGCGGCAGCTGGGCTTAAAGTCAGTGTAGCCACAGCTGCAAAGTGAAGTAAGAAGGAACACCCTGGGTCCCCGTTTCTTCGCCAAGCACACTCTGGTGCCCCCTCGGTGCGCCCCCCAAAACGCTTCGGCACTCGAGGGCGGAGAAGAATGAGACAAGGGTGGGCGGAGAAAGAAGATCTGAGCATTAAAACAACATGCAAACAGCCTCGCTTTTGCGAGGCAGGTGTTGCCACCAGCTATCAGATTATTCTCAACGCAATCAGGTTTAAACTCGCAAGAATATGCCAGCTGAGATCGCGTTAACGAACGCGATCTTGCAACGAAACGCAACTGCGCGTAAAAACCAATGTCTGGCCCGACGAGATGTCGCGTTGATAAGCACGAAAACTGCATGTATATAAATTCTGTTTGGCGGCTCCCGTTGGCTTTGCTCCTTAGGGGGCTGCCTCGGTTATCGCAAAAGGTATTTGTGTGTGTGTGGCCACTTGTGTTATATATGTAATGAAGTGGCCTAAAGGTATGTAATAGCCACCGCTCAAGGCGAACTTTGGTTTGTAATGAAGTTCAGGCCTTTGAGCGGTGGGCCTTGCGGCCGACTCACTACGCGTTGCCGTTCTTGTAGAACCTGCGGTCCCACATCCTTTGGCCGCTGTACGTCACGTAGCTCGTCGTGAATGTTTCCCAGGCTGTCCTCGGGACCCAGTTGCGAAACCAATCATTGTACTGGATATCCTGGATGTATACGTACTCGTCGTTGTTGATCGCGATGTAGATCCAACAGTTGATGTAATAACTCCAGTACCTGAGACCCCAGTAGCTGTCCTCGAGGTCGTCGCGACCGTAGGCGGCGTAATCGGATGTACGCGCTCTCTTGGCACGCGGCCCCGCGGGCGCGAAGTCCGTCGCGCCTGAAGCGCTGGACGCAGCAGCATCGCCAGGGGCAGGGCGCGGCGGCGGCCGCGGGTGGCGCGGCTCCATGGCATCATCGGACTGATGGGATTGTGTATCGGGATCGGTTCTCATCCCTGTATCACCCCCCTCTGGCCGGTATGTGACGGATCGAGGGAGCCTAACAACTCGTTGGCAATCGCGGCAAGCTTTCGCTGAGTGAACTGTTCACGGGTGCCGCCCCTTCTAGGGGGAGCAATCGTGACCAGTCCGCGAGCCTGCCGCGTCTGCCTGTCGAGGCGGCCCTCGTTCAGCCACCATTTCCTCCGACCAGCCTGTCCTGTCCTAATGCTGACGTCGAGGATGTCCCATGCATCGCGCATGTCATCCACGGTCCAGGCCTTCTTGCCGACGTTCACGCGGGCACCTGTCATTTGGTGGTGAAACTTCAGGTCGTTGAGAAAGCGTTGTGCGAGATTGGCGAATGGGTAGTACAGAGGTCTGTCGTCATCGGCTTCGCCCATCAGTCTGCATTCATGTGCAGCAGGGCTACCTGATTCGACCCACTTCTGATACCTCTTTCTGGACGAATTAGCCAATATTCGCAACAAATCTGTCTCATTGCCTGCGTGTGATCGCGCACCCGTCATAATGACGTGCGCTCCGTCCTTCATGTATCTCGCGATCTGGTCCTCGGAGAGCGTCATCTTGATCCAGTTCGTCAGCTTCTGGAGGTGCGCGAGATCACGTGGCGCCTACGGCCACGGTATACTGCCAACAGATGTCACAAAGGGCGCCGTCACCTGTGACGATCCCAAGGGACAGATCTCGACCGCAATTCCGACAGAGCGGCATGGAATGCAAGATCGTCTCTGGGGCCCCTTCCGTCGTGAGGTAATCGCGGGATCCCCAGCGGGTGCCCTGACCGCGAGCGAGGCTCTGGCCGATCTGATTGATGGCCTCACGATTGATCTCGGTGTTCGGTCGGGAAGCGATTGATCTACTTAATCCCTCGATCTCGATCCTAGACAATCTTTCCCCTGGCAGTCCTTTGTACTCTGTCTTGGTGTTGTCCGTATCCTCGGTACCACCATGGCATACGTTCTCTGTACGAAGACGGCGAGCCCTCCTGCAAGGCAGCCTCGTTGTCGCCCTCCTCGCGCTTGAGTCCCGTCTGCTCGGCTATGATACGTGCCGTGGTCTCCTGATCAGGAGCTGCAGATGCAACGCTGCCTGGATCCTGGGGAATATCCTGCTCCGCGCCTTGCTCACGCGGCGCGGCAGGTGTGTCCACCAGCTCTTCCCATACAGGGAAGTCTGGGTTACCGTATGTCTCGGTGCAACTCTTGAATAGTCACGCAACGCCTGGAGTGCAGGATGTTTCTCATGGATGGCACCTTTTGTGAAATCTGGAAGCTCCGCAATACTATCTTTCAAGATGTTCTGGTATACGTTGGAGATCCATTGAAAGACGCCTGTAGTCGACTCCTCGATAGTCTCTGGGTCGAGGTAATGTACCAACTTTTTGAAGAAATGATCTGCACTGCAATTTGGTAAGTCACGTGCCCATTTGTGGGTATGATGATTATTCAATTGGCATGACTCTGCATTCCATGCTTTCGATCCAAATCGAATCTCAGATTGGAAATGCGATTGTGTTTTATCCATTACAATTATGTCCGCGCCGCTGTGTATCTCGATGATCTGTTTCATCTTGGTCATAGGCGAACCCACCAACAACTCCGACGTCCAACAATATATGCGGCAGTCGTCTGACTGTTTAATCCATCTTGAATCCTCGTCGGGGTCGTAGTCTGGATGGTTAAGGAATTCCGATGGCGGGTCAATGATGTTGCCGAGTATGCTCGCCTCAATCTGCTCATCTGCTTGAATGTCAGCTGAGAGATCTGCCCTCGTGTTGTCGTTCGCTGCTTTCTCATCGGCGGTGAGCGATATGTTCGATATATCCACGATCACGGTGACCAAAGGATCATTCGATGATCCTGCAGTCTGTCGAAGCTTGTCGCCCGTATGAGCGTTGTCCCCGGCAGGTGTGGCCACCAGCTCGTCGGGATCGGGTGTCCGAGGAGCGGGCCGTCTGGTCGGTGTGCGCGGGGTACGTGGTCTATAAATGCTCGGCATACCAAGGTATGGTAAACTGCCATCATTCTTGTGCTGGAGTATCTTTTCACTGCATGATGTTGGACCTTTCAGGACGGTCTCCAGATATGTCGGGTCAATGGCATGTTCTTCGATACGAATTGGCAATGCAAAGACAACGCCCTTGAGAGGCATGCTTTTGTCGTTGTACCATATGTTGACCCATCGTAAACCGCAGTTGAGAATAGGTACTTGTACCGCGAAGAACTTGTCGAAGACGCCGAAATGGATAATTGGACCATATGTGTGTCCCTTGGTCAAGGCAATTTTGGTATTGTGATTGCCCTTGGGCCAGTGATTGTCGCAATGAAAGCATTTGATAGAACCCCAATTTTTGATGATAATGAAGTCTCCCATGCGAACATCATTAAATGCAGGCCGACGGCCCCAATCTTTTTGCGTAATCTTTGATGTGACAGGTCGAAGAGCTTCTCGGCAGTATGACAAGGCAATTAACCATTCTTTATCATCTGCTTTGTGATGGGTCTCCCGAATCATAGCGCGGACTATTTGCTCATCCAAGGCGTCAGCTGCAGATGTACGGCTAGCAGGGGGTTCCCCCAGCTGGACCGAAGTTGCTGATGCTGGCGTTGTCCTTGGCGGCTCCATGTTCTGGTCGGGGTCGACGGGTGCAATCCCAGGAGGGTCATCGATGAGCTCTCCAGGAAGGTAGGCACAAATCTCGTACTTGCTCAATGGCGGTCTTGCGGCCGATGGCGGGTCGTCCCATGGGTCGCCATCTGGCTATAACTGCTGGCCAAGCATGTGGTGTGGTTTAAGGCGGCGAATTGCAATAATTGCCGCAGCGGGTACCACGTCCTCTGTCATGATAGCGCCCTGAGCACCCAGCCAAAACCTGCAACCTGCTTTTGTGGCGATCTCCATGTTGATCACCAGCTCGACCTCGTTCTTGTAGTGATTGACCTTGTATGATTCCACGGAAGTATGTGGGTTCTTCTGGACATTGTCTAAATATGTGCTGGAACTAAAGAATGCCTCAGAGCGCTGATGGTTTATGATGTTTGTCTCTCTGAGAAGATGGATCGATGTATCCTGGAATGGTCCCTGTCTTCAATATGTTGCGCCAAGCGCGGGATGCTGTGCCGTGATGGAGATATTTGACATCTGTGCATTGTAGGCTCTCCCATCCCATATTCCATGGCTTGGAAGATGGGTTGACACAGCTGTGACCACCAACGCACCGAATAGCAATGACGCTGTTCCAATCGAAAGAACTGGGGCCACCTCCCTCAGGGATCGGCTTGGCATGTATCTCAATTCTGTTTTTCTGCGAATCAATATGTTTTTGGACCGCACGAATGATGAATATCGGGTAGTAGTCGTTCCAATCGGCATATCCATCATTTGCACCATCTTTCTTAAAGTGTGCCACTGCTGCATCCATGGATGGTCCATTGCGTCT